CATCAACCTAATTAAAAGAAAAAATAGTTGACTAAACTTCGGTGTGAATGTTTGAGGAACACAATCTGCTTCAGCATCCAAGTGCTCAGGAATAACAACTTTTCCAGAACAGACTTCTAGGACTAGGTGAGACACCAGCACAGATGGAGGAACAAAAACTCAAGAGCCTTTAGTTCCATGTCTTAGGGTCTCCCTAATAGGGGCCAGGGGCTGCTAAGCCACTAGGAGCCAGCTCAGGGCACCTCATTTTCAGCAGAGCAGGGAAACTGTACAGGCAAGAACTACTCTGCTGTATCCACAGAAATGGACTGATAGAAGGTTCATAACATAAATATGAACATAAGTCAGTTTAAGGAGAAAACTGGGTTGAACAAAGTGACATGGGTAACTTTCCTGAAGGACTCCTCAGACTTTAAATTCAGCTTCTCTCTAGGCATGTTTTGAATGATCTTTTTTTTTGTTTGTTTTAGAAAACATTGTGTTTTTGTATACCTGAATTCTTTTTGAAAATGGTCAGTGATTTAAATTTTGGTCTAAAGACCTTATATTGTCTTTAGAACCAAAGTAGAGAACTTGGTTTTGTTTAGAGTAAAGGGTGTAGGACATGCCTGAACTAAGGATGCAAGGTTACTTTTATAGGTTAGTAAAGAATTTGGGTCCTACTTCAAGTCATAATAAAATCTTATGAATAATGACTATCCCACTAACAAACTATTTTATCTGATCATAGTAACATGTCTTCAACACATCCCTATGAAATTATTTTTCTTTATGATTCTTTGGTGATTAAGAGATGTAATTCTGGAGACAGAGAAACCTGGATTCAAACCCCAGAACTACTACTTCCTGGCTATGTGTAATCTTGGTTTCTTCATCTGTTATATGTGGATGAGAACCATAAATTGAAAAGCTACCTCTAAGCTGATGTGGAGAACATTTTCTTGCTTGACATATCAGATGTGACCTAGAGCTTATCAGCCCCTGGAAACATAGAATATCATAGACAAGACAGTCTGGCACAGTCACTGAAGCCCAAAGAAGCTATTCCACACTATGGAGATTAGTTGTCCTTTTAGTGAACTGAAGATTTTGGGGAAGGGGAATTCTGCCACCTTGTGGTAGGAGTAGTCGATGGGAGGTTGATTGCTATCATCCCTAGTAGAATTCCAGCCCTCTCAGATCTTGGCCCACCTCAGAATTTATGAGATTCCTGGGCAACTGACTTAATTTGTGTCTATTTCCTCTGCTAACTAAGAATCACATTCTCTTTGGGTTTATTGAGGAGAAAGTGAGGGTGTCCAGAGAGCTTCTGTATTTTATGCAGTCCCAGTAGAAGAGAATGAACCAGCTTTAGTAGGATTGCATATTAAAAGACCTCAAGATACTTGTAAAATTTTCTATGTCTTATTTTTATAGGGCAAGCAGTTTATTTCTATCTGAGAGTTATGAAATCCACAATTTTTATAGGCTTGAGACTATATAGAAGGTGACTGAAGATCACGTAATAGAAACTGTTTCTGGATTTTTTTTTTTTGGACCATGTTCCTTCAAACTCCAGTTTGACTCCTCCAGTATTAGGAAACCAGAGAATGGAAGTCATCATGACTGGAAAAGGGAAGCTAAATCCGCTTTTCAGCATGCATAGAGTTTCTAGGCTTTAATTTTCTGTGCTCACGAAGATCACTTGAAAATCATGAGTTATATAAGACCCTAAGTTAGATAGGTTTTTCAGCTGTGGTTAAAAGTAATACAGATAACTCAGATATCCATTATTTGCTAATTAAATCAAGGGAAGAGCTCACTCTTCTTTTAGGAGAAAACTCATGACTCTGGTCCCACTCTGGAGACCCATTACGAGAGTCAGCACTTTTAGAAGTATGGTAATGTGGGGAAATGATGGTGACCCTTGCCTCAAGCTGAGCACAGAACTTCTTGCTCAGATAAGGCAATGATTTGGTGCAGGGAGAGGCACGGGTAGTTATGGAAGAATGGAAGAACCAAAAAAAAAGCACAAATGGTTTTCTCCTTTCTTTTAGGTCTTCTGTTATCAGTAAAGAGAAAACCTCTATACAAGAGTCAACAATAAAAAGCAACCTTGTTGATAATAAAAATTTTGGAACACAAAATATTTTTACTGGCATAGATAGCAGAGATAGAGCAAAAGCAGAAGTTTTTACTAATGACACTGGGGTGAAAAGGTCCACTTAGTAGCACATTACAGGTAAAATATCTAAGAGTCATGGAAACCAGGATCCTGACCTATAGGAGGGAAGTCTTTTAGGCACATACTTTAAGCTATAGTTTCCTATGCCACAGAGATGTCATTACCTTCCATTTGCCTTTTTTAACTTTGATTTCATTCCTTTCAGTTCTGATCTTTTAAAAAAAATTCTGCAATACCTAAGCAGTTTATTGGTGAACATCTTAAGATATTATTTGGAAGTGCTTTTACTCACCTTTTTGAGGTTGCTAAAACTGCTTTGCAAGGATGTTTGATCCTTCTGAGACATTTGCCTGGATCTTATCTTATGAAACAACTAGAAACAAGAGAAATTAAGGGACTTGAAAGGCCAGCCTGGTGGTAATTATAAGGTAGACTTCCTGAACTGCAGATGATCATTCTTTCTATTCCACTGTGCTGCCTCCACAGTAATGGATTAGAAAATTTTGTTTTAGAAAAGGAATGCTGAGATTGTTGGGAAAAAAGTCCTTAGCCCCTGAACAAGTGTATATTTGGGAAAAGAAACTGGCAATCAATTGCTCCTTACTTTGTTCCTTTCATATTCAAGAAGAAATTCAAGGAGAAATCTTACTTGAGCATGCATTATAAGATTTTTAAAATTTCCCCGTCTCATCCATTTACCTGAACTAATATTAGGAGCTCAAAGACCATGTCTTAGTGATCAGAGTCTCACTAGCAACAACTACATCACTGAGTACTTATAGAAGTATATTTTGGTTCTTCGTTCAAGAAATTATTTGTCCAGCTATAGTAGTGAGTAGTGTTTCTGCTGTGGCAGAAGCACTTATCTACAAATTAAGGTCTTGTGTATGGACTGGTAGGCTTTCTGATAGCAGATGCTGGCTAACTCCCAGAATGCTTTAGATTTGGCACTTGGGATCAAGGTTCCCAGTAGCAATCCTGGCTAAAGGCACCTGTATTCCATTATCCTTCTCTGCAGCACTTATAAACTGGTAGCTTGGCCTGTCAATGCTAATTTTAGGCCTACCCGGAAATAGGACTTATATTGTTAATATTCTGAATTGACTCAAGTAGCTTTGTAAGAATCACTTCCATTCACACATCAAGCTGAAAGTGGATTTTCAGTGAGATAAAAACAAAGAACTAGAAAGATGCAACCAGTCAGACTCCATTTGGTGGCACCAAACTTAAAAGTTTTTACTATTTTGTGAGACCCGAAAGCCTAAAGATCTCCAAACTGACAAACCGACTTCAATAAAATAACAAAAAAGGGTAACACTATAAAATAAAATTTCATGGTGCATCTATTCTTACATTTGAGGTTTTAAATTATTTATTATTTCTTTTTTCTTCATAGTTAATGTAAAGTTGCTATTTTGAGATGTTAATTTTAATGTTTTATGATAAAGTGTTTGATGGTGAATGGTAAAATTTTATAACCTTGAGAAAGTAAGTTGGTACCTATGTTTGCTCTCCCCAATATTTTTCCAAAGACTTTATTTTTTATTTTTATTTTTTAGTTTTAGGTGGATACAATATCGTTATTTTTTATGTGGTGCTGAGGATTGAACCCAGTGCCTCACAGGTGCTAAGCGAGCACTCTACCACTTGAGCCATAACCCCAGCTCCGAAAGACTTTATTTTTAAAAAGCAATTTTAGGTGAATGGCAAAATAGAGCATGAAGTAGAGATTTCCCGTATGCCTCCTGTCCCCACACATGCATTGGCTTCTTCAGTATCAACATTCCCCCAACCAGAGTGGTACATTTGTTAAAGTCACTAAATATAACCATTAAGTTCATGGTTTTCATTTCGGTTCACTCTTGTTGTACATTCCATGAATTTATATATATGGACTTGTATCCACCATTACAGTATCATCCAGAGCATTTTCACTGCCCTAAAAATCCTCTGGGCTCCACTGAAGAATTTAAAAATTTTACGGTTTTGTGAAATTTCGAAGTCTTAAGAAAATACACTAGAAATGTTGAACACAATACAATCTCATATAAAATTGAATTCTCACAGGGAAACTATAGATAAGAACCAAGCTACTTTCTGAATTTAGTGAAAATGAGCAATCTGGATAAACAACCCCAAAATTTTACATTTATTCTAATTACCTGAGCTAATGTACCTTGACATTTTTGAGAGGAAGATCAAATATTTTCCTAAGCCTCTGTACCAAATTAGAAGGAAAAAAGAAATTCAAGCCCAGATCAAATAGATGAAACAGTTCACATATCCTGAATATTCCCAGCTTTACAAATTGAGAGCCACTACTAGTACATATTGATCAACAAACTATTCATTTCAAAAAGAAAACCTGCTTCAGGGCTGGGGATGTGGCTCAAGCGGTAGCGCGCTCGCCTGGTTTGCGTGCGGCCCGGGTTCGATCCTCAGCACCACATACAAACAAAGATGTTGTGCCCGCGATAACTAAAAAAAAATAAATAAATGTTAAAATTCTCTCTCAAAAAAAAAAAAAAAAAAAAGAAAACCTGCTTCATTTACTCTGATTATCGAAAACTTAGGCCATGACTGAGATATGAATACCAGAAGCACTTATAACACAATAGGCAGTGTTGCTTTTGTATGTCAGGTTACAAGCACCCCCCTGGCAGTCATGTAGCTCTAAAGGATTTCCCACTCCATCCAGGGAGGAACAGCTGGAGTCCTAATCAGAAATGCCATAGGCAACTGCTACAGGTATTTCTGTATTCTGAACCAAAGCAAATTACAAATATAATCAAGGAAAAGAAAAAAGAAAAAAAACAAAAAACAAAAAACACCACACTTCTCCAGTTCCTCAGGATCCAATAAATTTTATTTCCAGTGATGAGAGACAGGGAAGGGGAAGAAGGGAAGCTGTTGAAAATTCCACATGCTACGCTTTCAGCAACTGTAACTATTTTTTATTAGAACTTCTTTTAGCACCACAGAAATTCTATGGCTTACAATAAAAATGATTGTCGTCTGATTTTTATGAGAAAAATCAAATTTAACAGATTTTATTATTTTGAGGCATTTCATCAATTCTAGGTGGAAGCACATCAAATAGTGAATAAAATTTTTAAAAGATTGCTTACCCATTCATGCTAAGTACAATTTTACTAAAAATGAGATAAACTTCAAAAAAGCAAAAATAAAATTATTAAAAATAAGATTATATTCTTCCATATGCTACACATAAATTTGTAGTCACCAGCGTCACTAGCTCTGCCTGAGGAAACCCTCTCCCTAGAAATCTTACACTAGAGCTAAAACAAAGTGAAAACTTTATTTCACCAAATAATTGTGGCAGATTTTTTTTTTTTTTTTTTTGCAAAAAGGTGGAGTGTGACCATTATGTGAAGTTTTAAAAAATTGTGCCTGTATTACTTATTCATTTATTACTAAACTGTCTGGTACAAGTTTAGAATGCACAGAAGAATACTCATGAATATGTGTTAATGCAGTGGCAACCATTATGGAGTGAAATACGGAAATCCCTAGGTCAAATAAAACACACATAGAAAGACAATTTTTTATTAAATTGGCACCTTGATGTTGATGATTTAATTCTAAATAACTGAAATGATTCTAAAATAGCTAAAAACACATAGATAAAAATGATAGCTTTCAATGTATAAAAATTATCCATCCTTCCTTATTAAATCCATTTATACATATGGGCAGTGTTTTCATAAATGTTAGATTGAAATAAATTTAGAGTTAAGTAAGCAGAATTAAACAGTAATCAGTAAAATGCTAAAGATAATCTGAAAGTGGAGTTTCTTTCATCAAACATTTATTAAATGCTTATTATTATCCTAGTCACTGTTCAAGTATAGAACAAATCAGTGAACCAACCCCCAAATAACTACCCTAATTTTAATTTGTTTTTAAGGGTGGGTCTAGTAAAAACTGAAAACCTCTTAGACAAATTCTAAAACTGCTATAATACAACCTTATTTTAAATATAAGGGAAAATTACAGACCCTGAAAGGTTAACTAATTAATTTCATAATTATGTTTTAGATTTTCTGTTCTTGGTGTTTAAACAAACAAAAAATATTCTAACATTTAGTAGAGTCATTCATTTCCTTCTTGAACACATACTAACTACACTTTACAAAATTTTAACTTCTTGTGTAGCAGCAGAGCATTCCAAGATTGCCTGGGAGACTTGCCAGTTAGGTAAGTCAGGTACTGACCCTGGGTTACATCAAGAACTGTGTATGTGACTAGGAAGAGGTGTCTGCAGCGGTTCTGAAGGAGCCTGTTGCAATACTCTTGGACTTCTTCTAATACTCTGGGGTCTGTTTTAAGGTAGAGCATTCCACAGATGCCCTTATGGGTTACTATCATTCTCTGCTTTCAAAAGTTTGGAGCACTTTTACTTGAGGGAGGAGGTAGTCATGATGACTGGCATTAATGCGTAAATGCCAGGGAGGCTAAATGAATCCTGCAGTGGGAGGACAGTTCCCCCCCCCCCCATGAAGAACTCTTACATCCAAAGGTTCAGTGGTGCTAGTCCATGACTGAGAGACATTAAAATGTTGTTACCTGGTTTATTAACAAAAACAGACACTTTATTTTAGTCATGTATTTTATCTCTTAAAGAACAGATAATTTTAGCATTATATTTTATTTTAAATACAAAATCATATAAAATATTTCAGTTAAAAACTACCCAGGAAAGTACAAAATAACTTAATAATTGGTTTTATATATTTTGGTTTGGTCAAGAAGCTATTACAGGCAAGTGGAAGGTTCCTATTAAACACTTATAATAGTACTTCCTGCTCCAAACAGTTCTGAGAAGAAAATCTATAATTCTGAAGACTGTTTTATACCCTGCTCTTCAAGAGACATACTTGAAACCATTTGAAGAACTATTCATACTGGTTTGACAGTGCTTCAACCTCAGAATTTTGTGAAGAAATCACATGTAAAAGTATCACCTCTAGGGGGCTAGGGTTGTGGCTCAGTGGTAGAGTGCTTGCCTAGCCCATGTGAGGCACTGGGTTCCTCAGCCCCACATTAAAATAAAATAAAGCTATTGTGTCCACTTACAACTAAAAAATAAATACTTTTTTTTTAAGTATCACCTTTTTTTTTTTTTTAAGAATCCTTCAAAACAGTGGTTTTCAAATTTTGGCACTCATCAGGATTTCCTGGGGGAACCTTGTTAATGTAACTTCATTAAAATAAAACCTTAAGTCTATTAAGCATTCTACTTAAACAGAACAGATCATAACTTATTCACCTTGACTCACAATTATTCCCATGAGTTCAAAAGATAGAACCACAGGATAGTCCAAAAAGCTGGATAGTCTATGTCTACATGAAAACATTTATTTATGAAATACATAACAACTGTTAGCCTACAGAGACCTATAGAAAATCCAACAAGAAATCATGAGTATTGTACTCAAAATGAGAACATAATCTTTCTTAAATATACACATAAACCTACTGAATTTTTATATTCAAGATTCAGGAACTTCTTCATCAGGGCAACAGTAATATTCTACAAAACATATTTGTCCATCTTCATTTCTAATCATGTACTGTAATGAGAGGAATCCCCGGTTATCTGTCCGAATAGATACCTTACAAGATAAAACTAATGCCTTGGTAGAGGGTTTCAGTAAAGAAATCTTGTATCTGTAAAGAGTAAATAAAAAGCTATTATTTGGATACACTTAACATAGTTTTCATTAACTCTAAGGAATGAACAAATTTAAACAAGAACTACTACTAAGTAACAAATATAAAATAAAATTAAACATTAGTTAGGCATGATGGCACAGATATGTAATCCCAAAAGCTCAGGAGGCTGAGGCAAGAGGATGGTGAGTTCAAAGCCAGACTCAGGAAAAAAAAAAAAAAAAAAAGAGGCATTAAGCCACTCAGTGAGACCTTGTCTCTAAATAAAATAGAGCTGGAGATGTGGCTTAGTGGTCAAGTGCCCCCGACTTCAATCCCTGGTACCCACCCCCTCAATCAAATACTTATCCAGTTTGCTAATATTTTGTTATTTTTATTCACCCACACTTATTCTTCCAAACCTCCAAGTAAATTCAACCCCCTCTCACTCGTTTTTTTTTAAATACTATGCAATTTTATTAACAGTGTCTAAGTCAGGTATTTTTTGTTGATAGAAATTTGGTATTTAAGCTGGGCACAGTGGCACAAGCTTATAAAACCAGCAATTTGAAAGGCTCAGGCAGGAGGACTGCAAGTTCAAGGTCCGCCTCAGTAACCAAATGAGCCCTTCAACAACTTAGCAAGACCCTATCTCAAACTAAAAAAATTAAAAGGGCTGGGAGTATACCTCAGTGGTAAAGTGCCTCTGGTTCAAACCCCCACTCCCCTACAAATAAATAAATAAACAAGTATTTCATCTTTATCACTAATAACAACCTCTATATTAGGAACTGACCTGTTAACCTGGGTCTGATTACAATGAAATGCTTCCATCAAATCAGAATCTTTGGGATAATCAAGGTGGGAGCTTCCTGCATTTCCAAAAGTAGATAACCTATAGTAGAAAATGAGCATTTACTCACTGGTCCAACAATAAGCAACATTCAGATCCAAATAAAGAAATCATTTCCTCTAGCAGCTCATACTTACGGTGAAAGAGACATATATAACAAATATTTATATCATACTTTAAGAAGCATCATAATAAAGGTTCCCACAGGATGCTGTGGGAGTACAGGTAATTGCAACTAATAACTAATTTGAAGACAGTCACATCAGTCTATACATCCTACTCTGACACTGACTTTTCCTTATCCGTAAACCTAGAAATACATAACAGAAATGAGAAATGGAGTATGATGGAAGACCTTGATCTAAATCAATTGCAATGTTTGGGTACCATTTCCCAATCTTTATTGTCACAATGTTTTTCTGCATCTTGGACTGCTCTTGAGAGTTTTATGGCTTTCCTTCCTTGGTAACATTGCAGCTATATTTAGGCAATTTAAAATGTTTATATGTTGATTTAATTTGTAAAACTTGTTCAGCATTTCCTATGGGTCAGCACATTGATAAGTACAACATGAGCACAGTGATCAGACCTCGGTGTAAGTTTCCCCAAGCTCCATCTCCACTCCACATCTTGTCGATATTGCTTTTCCCAGGATCCATCTTTTCTATCTGTTTCTAACAAACCTTTCTCTGAATATCTTGTGCTTAGGCATCATTCCAGCAATGACGACGATTTTCAAATCTAAATTGCAGTGTAGACTGATTTCCTGAGTGCTGTACTGCTGGTACAGCAGTGTCACAGGCACCTCAAATTCTAACATATCCAGAACAAAAATTTTAACACCCACCTCCCCACTAACAAACTGTTTCCCACGCTGGCAATGAAAGATGCCATGATTCATCTAGTTACCCATGCAGACAGAGGCTATTTAGAAGGGGAGCCTCTGTCATACTGGTTAACTGGCTTTCAATGATTAACATTTTGGTTACCATTTTAACATAGCTTAAGCCAAATTTTTATCTGCCTAATGCCACTAAAAGGACCTGTGATTCTTTGAAACTTGACACAAAAAGAGCGTATACCTTTTATTCCATTTGGATTTAGTTCTTTTACTCTTCAATATTCTGAAATGTTTTAAAAGAGAATAAATATTTTGGGGCAGCTTTATCATTTTAACATTGTATTCCTGCTGGAAATTACCTTGGCCATTGCTCTCTGAGTGGTATATTCATGTGCTATTTACTCAAGCATTTTTGAATATTATTTTGGTACTCAGTGGTCTGCAGTTTTGTTCTTTGTCTGTTTTTGACATATTTTCTCTTTACCTTAATTTTAAGCCGTTACTCCCATAATCTTAAAAGAGATATGTATATGTTAAGTACTCAACAGATACTGAGTAAATAAACCATATATCAGAAATATCTATTTTCTTTTGCATCCTGCACTAAAAAGAGAAAAAATACCATATAATACAAATACATTTTCCAAATATTTAGACCCAGTTTCCCTCATGTTGTGGTCTAATCTACAACAGTAAATAGTAACATAATGAAAAGGCCATTAGATTATGGATTAAGAGAGTCAGCTTTTCATCTATAAACCAACACAACCAAATATGAAATCCTAACTTCTTAGGTCTTAAGTTTCTAAAGGTCTAAAATTATGAGGGAAGAACAATAGTTCCCTAAAGTTCTGGAAGTTCTAGGAACTTGGGTAATAAAAATTCTGCAACCTCAGCAATGTGTAAATGGAGAAAGGAAATACAGACCACATGAACCATAACTTCTCTCAAGTACCTGAAATATGGCTTATCAGGAGACATGGTGATTTGGAGGACCTCACTTGTCATATCCAATTCAGAAAATGCTTCACGGAGCCCTTCTGACTGCAGAATAATTTTATTAATAACATTGGTGCTACAGAAATCAAAATCAAGAGTCTCCTCGGGCTCCTGAGTATTGATTTTGCAGACCGTTACCACTCCTCCCTCTTCCAGAAATAACATCAAAGGGTGACCATAGCCTTGGTAACACATTCGAAGTGCAGTTAAAGTCCCTGCAACAGAAAGAAATCATACTTGGTTTGTCTTTATGGCTCTGTGTTCAGCTTCTCCTCCAAATGACAGACTAAATTCCTTAAGAATATTTTCTGATTTATTCTGCCAAATTTCTATCATATGCGTATCTCCTTAAAAGAAATTATAATCTGAAAAATTGCAAGATTGGGAACCAGAGCAAAATTAACTTTCTGAAATCAATATTAGCTTGCCCAAAATACCTCAGAAATAGCTCACTGATCATATGCACAAACACACACACCCATTTCAGGACAGAGAATCTACCCATGGACTAACTTGACAAGTAACACAATTGTTGCAGTATAGGCTATGCTATTTCTTGAAGGTTCAATTTCAGCAACAGTGCATTACTTTAATGTCTGTACTTATAATGTCAGTGTATTCACTCTTAAGAATTCTTCCAACTACTACTGGGAGATAGTCTTTACATTTCTTCAAATTTTAAGATGAAATTGGGAGAAAAGAGCGTGACTAATGATGGTATGAATTTTGGTATTCAAAACCATTAAAGGAGAAATATGATAAGACAGTTTAGCTTTTTCTCCTTACTGAATGAAAAGTCACTTAATATTGGAATAAGTCTTAATGGATGATTGTGACCATTGAAAAATGTATTGCCAACTAATTTTCTAAAAAAACAATGATTATGTATATTCTAAAGAACTTATATTTTTCTGATCATTCTGTATAATATTTTATGTTTTTATAAGGACAAATGAAATGGTTCACCTGGCATAGGACTTGATCCAAAAATAGATAAGCAGTCCAAAAGGACTGTTAAATTAATTCGAAAAGTAATAGACTCTTCCTGAACAACAAACTCTTGAAATATTTCAGCCTACAAAGAATAAACATGAAAATGGAGTTATATTAAAGAATGAAATATGAGGTAGATTCTAGTTTTCACTTTAAATGTTTTAAAAATTACAATATTGTGCTAATGCCATGAGGATTTCTGATTACTATGGAGAACATCTTAGTTTTCTCAGTTACACCTATTAGACCACTACTCGATAGCTTAATATCAAAGGTGTAACAGTGATACAGATCCCATGGCAAAGCCTTGTGATGGGTCCTTCATTTCCATTCCTGGATCAAAACCTATCTCCTGTTCCTTTGTCTTCTTTTCCTGTTTATCAGCATGGGTAAGATCACTTGGAAAATAGATAATTTTATAATATATGCATTAGTTTTCAGTATCTTTTGGGGAACCATATCTTATTTATTTCTCCATCTCTGAGGCCATACTGTGCACTTCAGTGTTCAGAAACATGCTGAACTGAATCTGATCCATATAATTATTACTTTTTAAGGACAGATTGTGTTATCACCAATAAAAGTAAAAAACATCTTTTAATAATAGGGAGGTAATAATAATGTAATAGTAAAGAACAAAAAACATTTTCATCCCAAATCAGCTACTTACCAGCTATAAGACTCTGGTAAACTTTTATTGTGCCTCAGTTTCCATGTATTTAAAATGGGAATAATAACAAAGCCTACCTTATATAGGTGTATTGTGAGGATTAAAGGAGTTAAATACTTAGAAGAGAGTGTCCTATAGTTTAGATTAATAAACCACTCACTATTAACCATTATCTCTGAAAGACAAGATAGGAAAAGAATTTGTTACCAGAAGATTTAAAAAATAAAATAAAATAATGACATTTTGTTCTCTACTTGAATTTTGTCTAGTGAGACTTTCTGAATTCATTAAACTGGGTGAAGAGTATGTCACAGGCTTCACAGGTGCCTTTTTCCCATACCTGAATAAAAGCATTTGCTTGCACACACTTTGCATTTTCCACTGTAACCTTGATTCCATTTTTAGTAGCGAAACATGTGGCAAAGTCTTTGAAATGAATAGCTTTCAAGATAGTAGAGAGATTCCTGACGTTGTCAAGGCTGGCCACTAAGCTGTTCTCATTCTCATCTTGGATCTGTTGGGTTAGGAGGGGCATGGTCCACTGCTCATTCGGCCCCGAGGGTAAGCTCTTGATGTTGGGGCCGACACTGCACCCGAGGATCAGGAAACGCCTGAGAGAGTCAACAGTAAGCCGCGTCAGCGCAGGCAAGGCTCGGCGATCCCTAGCCACGCTGGTGCGGGCTGGAAGGGCCCCCGGAGCTCAACTCGACGGATCAGGCTGAGCCCCGCCTCCGCCACTAAACCGTCCCTTACCTGGGTGGCGGGGCGGGGGGAATTACTAATCTCTCAGAGCTACGGTCTCCTTGTCTTCGGTATGGGGCCAGAGATATTTGAAAAGTTGCAAACCATGAAATAAACGGATACAGTAACTGCATTTGGGGTCGGTTCCACAGTCAAACCCGGATATACCCACAGAGCTTGTTTAGAGCCAGCCGCCGAGCGTCAGCCTCCGAAGACTCTCCAAAAACCCGTCACCCCATTCACCAACCCACAGAACACCCGCCCCTCACTAGTGGAGAAAGCCCACGGCACCGAAATCCTACCTTTGCGGTAGGTCAGGGGCCTGAGAGCTCTTCCCAGCCAGGAAACCACGAAGGAAGAAAAGGGAATCCCGCCACTCTTCAGATCCGCTTGACACCTCGGCCACCGTCACCACAGAGCTGAAGGAGGCCTAGAAAGCCGAGACCGGAAAGAGGCACCATAGAGTGGAATAGGACTGCAGAGCCCAGCGCATGGTAACATAGAGACCGGAAAAAGGAGCGAGCGGCCGGCCCGGAAGTAGAGCTACGGCGGTGAGGCAAGATGGTGGCAACCAAGAGGAAACGGCGTGGGGATTTGGCGGTTCAGGCGAAGAAGCCAAAAAGAAACGAAAAAGATGCCAAATCTTTATCTAAGTCGCCCGTCAAGGCAGAAGAGGTGGAGGAAGAAGAGAAAGACCGTATCCCAGGTCCCGTTTGCAAGGTAGAAGAGCTGCTCCGGGGTTACACCTGCGAGGGCGGCTCCATGCGCTTTCTTTGGGGCTAACTACAGTTCTGCTGTTTCCGGAGTATCCCGAGTTTTACCCCGGAGCGGTCTCAATGGTCCGCTGGGCTGAACTGGGCATTGTTTACTTCTAATCCTGGCGCACGTGGCCGTCTTCCCGGAGGCGGCAGTCTGTAGATTTCTTACCCAACTCAACGGGGTGCTCAGTTTTAGCATTCTGTTTTCCAGTTACTCAGGCTTTTTCTAGCAAAATGCTTTTCCTTATTTATTTCTTGCTATAGGGAATATATTTTCCTGTGGTTGGTATTTTCATATCCGCAATAGTCAGCCAGTGTTATTCAGGGATCCTGAAGCGTGTTATCTAAACTGGGATGTTTTTCTGGGGATTGACTCGGACTTATTTGAACAGGTGTTTAATTCAGGAATGAAAATTAGGATAGATAGCATGAGTTTTGTCTGTGTTCAACAAACTTTTTATTTTGGTACCAGAGATGGAACCCAGGGGTGCTGAACCATTGATCAGTATGTCCCCAGCCATCACCGCCCGTTTTTGGTCTCTCGGAGTTACCTAGGCTGAGTTTCAACTCAGCCTCAGGAGCCGCTGAGATTACAGACAGGCGCCACCCGCTGGCCTTTCACAAACTTTTAATGTGCCTTGTAGTGTACGAGGTAGGCTTCCCCTGGCATTTGATATTGCAAAGATGACTAGAACGTGACCTTTTCCTGAAATTTTGGAATTTAAAAGGAAATTAAGAATTCATAGAAATTGATAGATTTTATTTAAAGGAAAATGAGCACAAGTTCTAGTTGGAGTTAACTTTTATTCAACTGAAAGCTCCTTGAGCCAGGTGGAATATTGTGGAGACAAGGATTGTCTTTATTAGTTTCAGTGTTTTCTGCACCTAGCAGAGTACTCAAGCCCTGACCCTGTGTGGTATGATGGCAAGCTCTGGGAAAAGAGTGACTGTAAGGAATGAAAGAGGAGTGTGAATTAATAGCCCCTCCCTATTAGTAGACAGTGACATCCTGTGCTGTTATCTGCCCGTTTCAGAGGATGAAAAGACTTTTTGGGAAAAATAAGCCAGAGAAAAATCTGGTAGATTTTCAGTAAATGTTAGTGCTCTCACTCTTCCTTTAAGGAGCTGGAAAGAAATATGAAAGAATCTATGGCCTTGAGTTATGCATTGTGTGAAACACTGGAGCTAGAGCTTATTTTTATCCTAGGATAATAAGAGAAATTATGAGACTTAATGTTGAATTGGATCTTAAAGGGTAACGTTGTTTGTTTTGTTTTGTTTCTTTGATTTTGCGGGGGTACCAGGGATTGAACTCAGCGGCACTTGACCACTGAGCCACATCCCCAGCCCTAAGACAGGGTCTCACGATGAGTTGCTTAGCACCTTGCTTTTGCTGAGGCTGGCTTTGAACTCCTCCTGCCTCAGCCTCCCAAGCTGCTGAGATTACTGACTTGCACAACTGTGCCCATCTTAAAGTGTAGGATTTTGATGTTCAAAATGAAAGGGAACAGTCCAAGGGAAAGAAAAAAGAACTAGCCAAAGGTGTTGAAGTGGGAAATACTGAAAATCTAAAAGCAGAACCAGATTGAAGTGTAGGATTGATACTGGTTGTAAAAAGTGAAAGTTTATTTTAAAATACAACTTTAAAGCTATGTCATTTTCAATTTGGAAAACTCTGGGAGATGAGATTGTGATTCCAACAGTGTTTTGAACTGGCTAGTCTGCCATATCTATTGGAGGAACTTGTTTCTGGGAAGGTTAGCCATTTAGGAGATTTGCCCTTCATACAAGGTTAAAAGGATCTAAGTAAGGACACTGTAAATGAGAAAAGAATTAAGATCTGTTGCAAAGAGAAATTAACAGCATTCAGCAATGCTGATAATATAAGAAAATAAGTGCAAATGGAAGGTTCAGAGTCTGGGGGACTGAAATGATGATAACATCAAAAAAAGAAATGGCAACGAAGTTTACTAGATTTAAGGGATAAGATAATATTATAGTATTGCGAGTTGAGTTTCAGGCTTTAGTCAAATACTTGGGTTATTAGGGCAAAAGAGAGTTCCTTTCTGTAGAGAATATAAGAATAAGTTCTCCAATGGAGAGAAAAACAATTTAACAAAAAAGGAGACTGAGAAAAACAAAAACTTTAGAATTTTGGGAGGAGGAATTGTAAAGAATGAAAATGAGGAACAGAAAAGTAAAGAAAGAAGGAGGGCATTTCTGGGTAGCAGATGTGTTTAGTAAATGTTATTAAGAGATTGAAAAAAAGAGTTGTGAATGTTTGGCTTACTATTTTTAATTTGTTTTTTGTTTTTGAAACGGAGTTTCACTTTGTTGCCCAGGCTGATCACTAACTGTTGGACTCAAGTGATCTTCTGCCCTGGCCTCCTCAGTAGCTGAAACTACAGGCATGCACCATCATACCCAGCTCTGGAAGCTTTTAAAACTATCTTTAAAAAACAAGATGCTGGGGGCAGTGGCTCTGTGCCTGTAATCCCGGCAAGACTCCACAGGCTGAGGCAGGAAGATCACAGGTTAGAGATCAGCCTCAGAAACTTAGTGAGGTTCTAAGGATTTAGTGAGACCCTAACTCAAATTTAAACATAAAACAAACAAACAAACAAAAATAAATAAAACGGAAAAGAGCTGGAAATGTGGTTCAGTGATTAAGCAACCTTAGGCACAATCTCTGGTACCCCCCCAAAAAAAATATATATATATAGGTTCAGTACAAGATTTAAGATCTTTTAACATTTTGTTTTTCTTTAGGGCAAATGGAAGAATAAGGAACGGATTCTCATTTTTTCTTCTAGAGGAATAAATTTCAGAACAAGACATTTAATGCAGGACTTGAGAATGTTGATGCCTCATTCTAAAGCAGGTGCCTTTATAGCAAGTATTTTAAGAAATTGTATTTATAAACTTGCATATTTATATATTTACAGTTATTTATGTATTTTCTCTTCATTTGTTCATCTGGTTAAACAGAGAATGAGAGTACCTCAAAAGTGTATCCTCAAGTAACACAATTTATTAAATGAATATTTCATAAGAATCTTTATAGAAATCAATAGATGTTCACTTTCTTACATAGGTACCCTAACATTGAAACATTTTTCAAAACAGTCTAGGAATGTCTTCATTACAATGCTTTGTGTCTGTGTTGGGAGATGCTTTTGGTTTTAATTCTAGGTAATAGCTTGGTCCTTTATACCAGTGCTGCTTAAACTGGGGTAGGCTTTAATGTCTTCATATCTCTGAAACTAATAAGAGAAATTCTAATTTGTATAATTTTTCTATGATAATCCAAAATCATTTTTTAAAAGTTTTCTTTGACAACTGTGACTTGATATTAAAAGATATTGCCATTGGTTAATATTTTTGCTCTCTTAAGTGAATGTTTTCTTGAATGGCTCCTTGGATATAATCTTCAGTTTGGGAATTTTCCCATTTTTGAAAAGGGTTCATAGAATATAACCATCTGGACCCCTGGCTTCTCCATTTGTAGATTCAACTAACTGCAGAATGAAAATATTCAGGGAAAAAACTACTGAATATATTCAGACTTTTTTTATGTCACTATTTCCTAAACAATATAGGATAACAACTATTAATATAGCTTTTACATTGCATTAGGTATTATAGGTAATCTGGAGATGATTTCAGGTATACAAGAGGATGTGCCTAGGTTTTATGCAGTTGGCTACATGGTTTTATATAAGGAACTTGAGCATCTATAGATTTTAGTATGTGCACTGGGTCCTGTAATCAATCGTCCTTGGATATAGACCAGTCCTACTTGGATACAGAGGGATGACTGTACCTAGAGCTTGAGAAACTGCTTAAAACACTGTTAATGATTCTTGAGGTCTAGTTTTTAATTACTTGTTTTCTTCATACTTAAAAGGAATCAGTCAAAGGTTGTTTATTCTCGGGTCTGATTATTTTGAAAATTAATTGTGAAAATCTCTTTGCCAAACAGTACAAAAACACCAGAAATTGTTTCCTAGGTAATATGTGAATTTATTGAAATAGCTTTGAAATCTTTCATTTACTTAGTTTTTTTTCTTTTTATAGATACTAAAATGGATCGTAAAGATAAGTTATTTGTGATTAACGAGGTAAGTTTAGAAACTATAGCAAAATATTTTAGAAAGTTTAACGATGCCTTATTAAAATATAAGTCAATTATTTGATGACTTTAAACTTGTTTTATGAGAATATTCAAATTTTTACACTTCAGTAACCTGTTATGTTTTTATAGTACTTCCTATATCTCACATTTTAGTGCTTCAGTATATATTATTTCTGAATTCTGTGTTTATTGTGTCTCAACAAGCATATTGAAATTTCCTGAAGACAAAGATACCTCATTTGCTTTCTTTCATAATGTCTATATTGTACAAAATTCATAGTAGATATTCATAAAAATTATCAACCAATCTGTATAAAATAAAATTAAAGTCACTGGATATTTATAGAAAATCCACATTATAAAAATAATCGTGCCAAAAAAGTGATATATGTGAGATTTGTTCTTAAATAGTATAAACTAGTAGTAGGTTAAAATATTATTGAAGATATTAAACCTGTATTTGAAAGAATAGTTTTCAAAATAATTGTTTTAAGATAGTTCTTTTACTAGAAAGCTTCTTTTATTTACTCATTTAGCACAAATTTTTAAATCTCTGCTCTAATATTATTCTGTGTACTACGGAATCATTGTTTACCAAAATACTACCCCTGCTGTTGTGGAGCTTACATTCTAACAAGGTGGGCCATAAACAAAATTTATAATTTCAAAGAGGGAAGAGAAAATTTATAATTTTCAAGGAGATAGAAGTAAAGCAACATATGGGTTTTTGGCAACTTAGCTAAACTGGAAAAGCCTTTCTGAAGGAATGCTGTTCAACTTAATATTTGGTAGAGTCTTAAGTAGAAATATGTGTGGAAGAACATGCTATGTAGAAAAAAAAAAAAAAAGTCCAGAGGCCTAGAAGTGGCACAAACTTAATGTTATTTATTTGGAGACCAGTAATTTTATGATACAAAAGCATTGGGCCTAATATTTTTTTAAAGTTGCTAGGTTTAAAGTCTCAAGTAATTTATGAATATCATATGGGATAGCTTGAGTTTATGTGTATCAACATAATACAAGAGTTTGCTCTTGTGTTTTGTGTATTTCCTTAAGGGTTACTTTGTGAACCTTCAAGATGTTGAAGTACAGTTCAACTTGGAGTAGGTTTTACATGGTTTTGCTTTTCACCAATCCTATAATGATTTTATAGAACAAGATCATCAAGAAATATGATAAGTATAAATGAGGAGGAAAAACTTGAATTTTGTGAACTTAAAATAAAAAACCTAAGAAGTTGAGGATAAAATAACCACTATAAAAGCATTGATTCTGTAAGGATGGTATATTCATAAGATTGATGCGTTTAATTGTGGTGTGCCTTATCTTTAGGGCATTTATTTTCAGTCTTTGTATTTGGAAATAGGACTATGGTTGGAAGAAGTACCAATAATCAAAAGTGAGACCAGTTGCTTTAAAATGCTAGGCGAAACAGAGTAGGATAGATACGTCTACCAAAGAGTTTCTCAGAAAACTCTTGAGACATCCTACCCAAGAGGAACTTTAAATATTTCTGGGAAGAATAAATTCACCTAGGTGTAGACCTTGGGGCCTATTAATTTGCTTAAATGTTTTTGGAGAAATTTGTTTGAATTGCACTAATTACATTCTCACTTGTATCATATACATTTTTCTGTACTTTGCTTCATTTAGGTCTGTGAAATGAAAAACTGCAATAAATGCATCTATTTTGAAGCTAAGAAAAAACAGGATCTCTATATGTGGTAAGAGGATTATTAAGATTTGCATTGAACTTAAATGGGCTTCTCTTTGTACCTCGTATGTAATAGAATCCTTTCAGTTTTTTACGTAAAAGAGGGGAGAATGAAGCAAACTCATTTGATTTCACAAAATTTGAAGCCTTTAAAGAAAATTTAATATTTCAATAAGCATATTATGGTATCTTCGTGAATAGGTGGTAAGCATATACTATATTCTAAATTCTAAAAGTTTTCCTCATATATTCCAGGCTTTCAAATTCACCTCATGGGCCATCTGCCAAATTCCTTGTTCAAAACAGTAAGTTAACTCAGTTTTATTTTTTAAAGAAAAAATTAATAATCATTTGGAATAATTGAGTCAAAGTTACAACTATTTTTGTTTTTGTTTTAATTTTTCTAGTTCATACCCTGGCTGAATTAAAGCTGACAGGAAATTGTTTGAAAGGTTCTCGGCCCCTTTTGTCTTTTGACCCGGTAAGTTTCTCATACAGTGTCTGATTTTCTTATTTGCATAGCTGTTTTTTAGTAGATATAGTTGTGTATATAATTAGGTTTAGTTAATGTAAAGAACAATTTTAAGTTATGCATTCTACTACTGTCAAATAATATGTTCTTTTCATTTTTGTAGGCTTTCGATGAATTGTCACACTATTCATTGTTAAAAGAACTCTTAATTCAGGTAAATATCTTTCCTAGAAAGCATTTTTAGTAAGAAGTGACTGTCTTCCTTTGGACTTTTTTGTATGAGTGTCTGATACTAGGGATTGAATCCAGGGCAGCTCTACTACCAAGATGCCTAGTCTTTTTATAAGTTGCCCAGGTTGGTGATGAACTTTTGATTCTCAGCCTTCTGAGTTAAGGTCTTCCTTTAGACTTTTTATTAACTTACTTATTAAAAACATTTATAAAGGGCTGGGGATGTGGCTCAAGTGGTAGTGCACTCGCTTGACATGCGGGCGGCGCTGGGTTCGATCCTCAGCACCACATACAAATAAAGATATTGTGTTCACTGAAAACTAAAGAATAAATATTAAAAAATTCTCCCTCAAAAAAAATTCATAAACGCCTTGTGATAAGTAATTAATGTTTTTTTTTTTTTTTTTTTAAACTAGATTTTTAGTACACCCAGATATCATCCCAAAAGCCAACCATTTGTGGACCATGTGTTTACTTTCACCATTTTGGATAACAGAATATGGTTTCGGAACTTTCAGGTTAGCTTTACTTTGCTTTTAAATTATAGATTTAAGTAAGGTATGTGGGATTATTTGTAGACATAGAAAATGCAACCTGTAAGTCCTTTTGTTTTAAATAGTCTTATTTCCTTCTCAGAGGTTTACTGCAAATAAATAATTGTCTGTTACTCATATTTTAAGTGATCTCTGTCTTCGTCTTTTCATGGTCATGAGTTAATATGGAGTGCAGGTTTGTTCACAAGCCATGGTATGTTTCATTTTTATAAAAAGGAAAATCTTTGGGTGCAGTGGCACACACCTATAATCCCAGTGGCTTGGGAGGCCGAGACAGGAGGATCACAAGTTCAAAGTCAGCCTCAGTAAAAAAGTGAGGCGCTAAGCAACTCAGTGAGACCCTGTCTCTAAATAAAATACAAAATAAGGCTGGGGAGGTGGCTCAGTGGCCGAGTGCACCTGAGTTCAATACCCAGTAAAAAAAAGGAAAATCTCTGGTGTAATTAGGGTTCCAAATTTTTGCTAAAGAATTTATGTAAAGAATACAAGAAAATATGTTTTTCTTCCAAAGGTTACTATCTATCCAGGGGGCAAGGAGGAGATAAGACAGACAAACATGACTTCTGTAGAAAGCATTCAATGAGAACTATTAGATGAGTCACACTGTGACTCATTCAGAAGAGGTGATTCTTGAAATCTTGAAGCAGAAATTTGGTAGAATAAGTCTGCAGAAAGATTGAGAAGTGAATGACAGCAGCAAGTACAAAATTTGAAACAGCATATGGACTCTTACCTGTGTGTTTTATATAAGACTCCTTGCAATATGAATTAAGTATATTCCATTCTTAACCTCTGAGGGCAGACATACCTGAACCAACATACAGTGTTAATGTTTGTGAGAAGCAAGATATGAAACAAATTCAGATTAGTCAATTTTTTTTTTTTTCTTTTTTTGGTATTATGTTTAAACCCAGAGGTGCTTAACCACTGAGCCCTATCCCCAGGTGTTGTTTTTTTTTAATCATTGTTTTGTTTTTGAGACAGGGTCTTGGTAAGTTGCATTGGGCTGGCTTTGAACTTGTGATCCTTCTGCCTCAGCCTCCTGGGCCGATGAGATTATAGGCATGTCACTGCTTCCAGCAGATTAGTCAATTTTTAAAGATCATATTGAGAAAACATACGTATTTTTCCAGAACAACCTCCTGTAACTAGTAATAGATTCAGAAAATATTGATGATTTGGCACTTGCCGAGTTTTCTCCATGTCTCTACCTTAATTTTACTGAATATCAGTTGTTTTAGCACATTTGTAATGAGGGTATATCCAGTTTTGAGTTGTATATCCAAACCAAAACGAATCTTTCCCTTCTGTTAAAGATCATAGAAGAAGATGCTGCTCTTGTAGAAATAGGACCTCGTTTTGTCTTGAATCTTATAAAGATTTTTCAAGGAAGTTTTGGAGGACCAACTTTATATGAAAATCCTCACTACCAGTCACCAAACATGGTAAGCTTTTTTGTTGTTGTTTAGTGGTCTTCAGTGTACCAGAACTCTGTGACCAAAATAATTTCTTAAAGTAATTATTAAAACTGTGAAACCAGTTTTGGTTTTTGTTATGTATATACCTGTGAATTACTACCTTTTCTCATGACACTGGTGAAGGAACAGAGTTCCTAAGTGAATGTCTGCCTTATATAAAATGTTTATTACAAAACCACCTAATCTTTGTTGTTTCTAGCATCGGCGTATCATAAGATCTATCACAGCTGCAAAATACAAAGAGAAACAGCAAGTGAAAGATGTGCAGAAACTGCGAAAGAAAGAGCCAAAGACTATTCTTCCACATGATCCCACTGAAGATGTTTTTGTTACACCAGCTGAGAAAAAACCAATAGAAATACAGTGGGTAAAACCAGAGCCAAAAGTCGATTTGAAAGCAAGAAAAAAAAGGATTTACAAAAGGCAAAGAAAAATGAACCAGAAGGTGAACAGTGGGAATGCAAAATGAATCAATGGATAAAGATTTGTTTTTCAGTTGTTGTGTATTTATTTTGTATTGAGTATGTAAATACTTTTATCTAGGACTACCTTTTGTCTAATTAGTGTACCATTTAAAAGAAAAAAATCTTAAAAATCAGTGATGCTTATCATTTTCCAAATAAAATATCACCAGAACTCATCAGTTAACTTTTGTTTTTCTTGTCAGCTTATTTGATATTACTAAAAACTTAGTATGCTCAGTGGTTTAGGATTGTTTTCTTGGGTTAGAATTTTTAGTTTAGCAACAATGAAATTCAATTTATTTATTGGGTTCTTACTACATACAAAGGCTTTGGGCTCTTTGGGAGCATAGTTGCTAAGTAGTAAAATAGGGATACCCTGGTAGATAGCAAAGCATCTTAACTGAGCTTTGGCTCCTAGAGTCACCAATTAATGAAACCTTGGAAAAATTAATCTCTGATCTTTTTCTCACCTCAAAAGAGAATTCATTAAAATTTTTAAGTTTTGAGAATCAAATGAGTTAATACCTATGTTGAAAGCACTTTGTATACTACAATTTTGTTTTAGAAGCAATGGGTATAGATTATTTTTAAAACCTAGTCTTGCTGGGTGTGGTAGTACATGCCTGTAATCCAAGCAATTTGGGAGGCTGAAGCAGGAGGATCACTAATTTAAATTAGAGACAAACCTTACCAACTTAGACCCCATCTCAAAATAAAAAAGACTGGGATGCAGTGGTAGACTGCCTCTGGATTCAATCCCCTGAACTGCAAAAAACAAAAAGAAGAAAAAGTCAAGTACCAGAACATTTCTGGGCTTAAGATCTTAGAGACAGATTAGTAATGGGAAAAAAGAGTCTTCCAGTGACCATGGGACAGATAGAAATATTTATAATACATATACATTTTATAAAATTGAGTCATGTACATGCTGTCATCTATTTATTGGCTTCACATTGGTCATTTTCCCATGTTTATGTGTTTCCTAGCTGCATACTTGTACTTTATACCACAGCTATATAATCTGATAAATATGGTTGACCCCTTATTGTTGAATATTTCAGTTTTATTACTTTTTCTGATTCAGGTGCTTACAGTGAATATTTCTACACATTAAGTGATGGTTTTTTAGAAATGGGACTCAAGTCAAACATTTTAAACAATATTTTGCTTGATAGAACATTCATTTCATTGCATCTTTTGCCAATGGTGAGATAATGTCAGAAAAAAAAGGTTTGGTTTTAAAAGTTAGTTTTTCTTTTGTGACTAGACTTGTTTTTCTGTAGTAAGATTATCTTCTACAGATTTCTAAAAGTTCTTATATAGTAAAGTTATTTTAGACTTCTGTCCTATATTACATTTTCATTATGTCTTATTTTGAATCTTTGGAAAGAACTATTAATCTTCCATTATTTAATTTTTAATTTTCTGCTAAAGATCTTAGTTGTATGTTAACTATGTTACTTATCTTGAAATAGTCTAAATTAGACTAGTTGTACAAGTAATTCAGTTCAGAGGTTCACTTCTGTGGTTAATTAAGTCCAAATCTAGTTAAATGCAAAAAACAAGGTGGCCATTGGTTTATTTAGGCAATTATGGATAGCCTTGGATTAAAAAAATGAGACAGACTATTCAGGATTGTTAGACACCCACATCTCAGAAAAAGGTTGATCTTAAAACAAACTAACAATTTGCCAGTTTGAAGACACCTTTTTGAGAGATGCATTGTGGAGTTCAGGTAGAATCTCCAACCTCATATTTGTAAATGATCAATTTCCATATGAAAATGTTTTTATGCCCCAAATTTTCACAGTCATTTATATGGATACTTTATCTGAGTGAACTCTGGAATGGATCATCTCCCAAATCCATGTTCATTTAGAAGTTAATCTATTATTAAGACTGAAATTTATATTCAGGGTCATTGTCTTCAAAATTTCTAAACATTGTTATAGGCAAAAATAGGTCTCAGAAGGGAAAAAAAAAGCAAGTGACTTCCAGATTTTGTACATGAAGGCAGATATAGTGGGAATAAAAAGAACCTCTCCCACCAAATCCATTCACAGGAGGGGAAAGGTCCCATGTTTCTTCAAACCTTATTGGAATATTTTTTTACAGATCTTCCATCAATGCAGAGCAGTTAAGCTAGTCAGATAACCCAAACCTTGTTGATTAAAAATTATCCCATAATTGCTTTCTTAATCTAAACCAATCTGGCAAGTAGGATGAAGCCAGACAGTAATCGATTAAAGTAATGGATGGATAGATCAGCACAATTCCATGTGTATTGGTTATTTTAAATGTGTTGATGTTTTCTTCTTAAATTGTTTGATAAGATGATTTACACAGTCTTCTTTAATGTCATTTCTCATGTATATTGATCAAAGTGAGTGGTAGCATAGGTTTTACCAAGTGGCAGCTGCCAAGAAGTGAATGTAGTTCAATGAATCCTGCCATTACATAGAGCAGACTTGAGCCAACCACTTGACTAGTGGAGCCCCATTTGCCTCATCTATTACAAAGGGGACTTAATTGAGAAATAATCTGAACCCCATGATATTTTCGAGAATCCTTCCCATACCAACCTTGTCTCCCTCCCGCCTCAGCCCTCAAGCGGGCTGTCCAGTCAGTGTCACTCACCGTCTGCGGTTTGTGCCGCTCACAATGACACCCGCCGTGGCCCCGCCCACTGCCAGGAGGCCCCGCCTCCCACTCCTTCAGAGCCCCTACGAAGCCCCGCCTCCCTCCCCGCCGCTCTTCCCGGAATAGAGCCCAGCCCCCGCCCATGCGGAGCCGCGGCCGCCGGCGCCGCCCCCTCTGCGCGCCCGCGTGCCGCAGCCCGCGTCGCCTACCGCCGCCGCGCGCCTCCGCTGCCCCGCGCCGCTGCCGCCGCCGCCGCCACGCTCGCTGGCTGGCCGGGTGCGGGCGCCGGGCTCCCGCCGGAGGAGAGGACAACCAGCGCCGCCGCCGCCGCTCGGGTCCGGGTCCGGGCCCGGGTTCCGGCCCCGTCCCGGGCCCCGGCCACAACCCCCTGCCGGGCCCGGCCATGAAGTGTCACTACGAGGCGCTGGGGGTGCGGCGCGACGCCAGCGAGGAGGAGCTCAAGAAGGCCTATCGGAAGCTGGCCCTGAAATGGCACCCGGGTAGGTTACCGCCCCGCAACCGCCGCGGCGCTGGGAAAAGCCCGGGCGACCTTTCTCACCCCGTCCCGCGTGACACCTGGAGGCTGGCGGGCGCGACCTACCTGCCGCTGGGCCGGGTGGCAGCGCGCAGTCTGCCCATCCTGCGGTGGACGCCCCTCTCCTTCCCGCATTGCCCGTGTTTGGGAAGCCCACACTCTGGCGACTTCACCTGCCCTCTCGCAGGTTCTGCTCAGAACCTCTGGGTTCTGCCCTGCCCTGGAAGGAGTCGACCTGGCAAGCCTCTGCCCTGCCGGTCCTGCTGGCCCAGCCTCGGGCGATCCTCCCTCAGCTGCCCTGAACTCGGCTGGGGAACCCCAGCTGCTTAGAGCTCACCTAGGGCTCCTTTCTTCCTGAAGTGAAGACCAGGGAGCCAGTAGGATGTCTTAGAAAGGGATGCCTGTGTTTTTTCTTTTAGTGGGCTGCTTAGACACACCCTGTGAATTGGACATTTGTCTTCAGATGAAGAGTTCTAATCAGGTGTCTTCCATAATGAAGTTTTTGTATGTTCACTTTGACATGCGCCTTCTTTGGATATTTTGTTTGTATCCAGGCCTGTGCGACTTTTCTGAAGTAATCTGATCTTCCAGACTGGGTCACTAAGACCATAGTTGAATCTCCGCTTTTGGGGAGTTTTAATAAGAGGCTTTTATTTTAACCATTAATTAATAAACAGACTCTCCAATATATGCAAGTCACCGCACTGTGTAACACGTAGATTATGAAATGCCACGGCAGGAATTTCAGTCTAGTTGGGAAAACATTCCTCACACACATTAAGAGTTAACTACAAGTGCAAAGAAAAAATAGCACAACATACGTAACAGAAAAACTAGTAAATGCCCAGAAATTCAAGGAGGGAGTTATCATTATGTACTGATAGATGCTGAGGTTTTCCCTCTTTATAGAAACTTGGATTGGGTCCTGGAAGAATGGAATGTGGAAAAATGAACTAACAAGGATGGGAAGAACTTTGGTGGTGGGCAAAAGATCTTCCAGCAAGGGGTTTAGCAAAGGCAGTGTTTATAGAAAGTAGGAAAAATAGGGATTGATAAGAGCTGAAGAAATACCGGGGAGCAGAGTCAGAAGGGAATGTCTGTAGTTGATGGAATAAGAAATAGGGTTATTAGCATGTTACTCAATTAATAGTAATTACCAAGAGAGGAACTAAAAAATATATACATATATTGGAAGGACAGAAATAAGTGAACTAAATGTTCATCATAGCAGGAAGTAAGAAGACAGGCAAAATTAATAAATCCAAAAATAGTGTAAAAATAGTAGAAGTATATTGGCAGAATGACAGGTAACTATCATTACCTGTTTTACTAAGATATTTTGGTAGGGTACTATGAAGGCACTGAGTGATTTATATAGGGCTAGCGATGGTCAGGGAACAACTAAGGAGAACCCAAGCTGTGCTTAGGGCTAGGTTGAGGGGAAATGTTCAGATAGTGCAAAGGAAAGATTACTAGATTTGGTGAGTAATCACTGTGAGGAAGAAAGGAATAAGTATGCAAATGTTAATGAATGCAGGAATTGGTTGTCAGGAACTAACTGAATAGTTTGTGTCATCCTAAATACATTTAAGTTTGAAAATGTTTGTATATTCCTATTTTCCCACAGAAACATGATTTTGGTTTGCTTGCTCTGTTAAGTGTGTTTCTCAAATGTTTAATTTTGTTCTATGCACAGGGCATTGTTTTAGATATTTCTGGGGTTAAGCTTTGCTTCAGAATAATGTGTCCTTGATATAGAAAGTTTGTTTGTTTTTTATGGTATTAAAAAAGAGAAGGAAAAAATTATGTTTTTTTTAATGGAGGAGCTAAGAATAATTTCCAGTGGGATCAATAGTTCCACCTATGAGATCCCTTTTGTGAAGGCAGGCTTTCAGTAATTCATCAATGACTATTTCCTGAGCTCTGTGAACAGGGTGGGAAAGACCCTTTCCTGGTGGCATTTGCATTCTGTGGGAGAGACAGGTAGGAATGGGCAATTTTCAGTATGGTGTGAAAAGGGGGTTGTATGAGGACAAATATAAGGTGCTTATGAGTCCATGTACTCACTCTGGACTAGGTGTGTGGGGGGGCGGGGAGCAGAGATGGAGAGAGCCATTCAGAAAATGCATCCCTGAAGAAGTGACATCTGAGGGGAAAGACGCAGGAGAGAACATGAGGAGGAGATGAGCAAGGCCAGGTAAGCAGGGCTGGTCCTGAAGTTTTGGTAAACTGGAGTAGGGCTTTAGCCTGAGGGCATTGGGACCTGAAGCCATCAAGGACCTGGAAGCAGGGGAATGATAGATTCAGGTTTTTCAAGTTTCTCTCAGACTATTGTTGGGAGTGGGTAATGGAAGGCACAAGACCAGAGGTATGGAGGCCAGGAGGTCAAGAAATTGAAGTCACTCAACTGATATGAAATCTCTGAGCCAGGTACCATATTTTTCATTGAGTCAGGAAGACAATTGAACAGTGATGAAGAGGATGGTTGGCCAAATGGTCTGAATCTCAAAGGAATGCTACTTCTTTTTTTTTTTTTTTAATTTTTATTATTGGTTGTTCAAAACATTACATAGTTCTTGACATATCATATTTCATACATTTGATTCAACCAATGTGATTCTGCAATCTGTATACGGGGTAAAAATGGGAGTTCATAACCCACAGGAATGCTACTTCTTACCTGTGGGAGAGTAAAGGATCAGTGGCCAGGCAGATGCCTGCTGTCGGAGTGCTGTGGCAAGAGGAGCCAAGAGGCCTGTAGAGTGTTTTCAGGGAGCCAAGGCCAGGTTTAAAAGGCACTACCCTTGAAATCTTCCAGAAGGCACTGTAAAAAAGTTAAGGAGGGGGCAGAAGAGTGAATGTGAGAAGAGAAAAGCACAAAGATAGCGTGAGAATGAACTACTTAAACTCCAGTGACTGGATTTGTAATACATGTGACTTTTGCATATAGAAAATGTAAACTTGCCTTATTATTGCTTGTTTACCTTATTACACTTAGATTTGAGTTTGATATATTTATGTGAAATAGAAAGCCATATGACAGATTGAAAAAAATTACTTAAGAAAATGACTCTAGTAAGAGATTAGACTGTATTTTTAGATGGTATGTTCATGGGTTTTGTGTGTTTAATTAAAGCTTTAGCTTTCTCTAGACTTCTTCAGGAGAGGAAAGAAGAGAATGGGACAAAGGAGGAGGACAAGGTACAATACTGGTAAAAAGGAAAAATAAACACCTTTCCCCCTCTCTTACAGGTACCTGTTTTTGTTGTATTTAGGAAGATTCAGTTGCTGGCTTTTTGTAGGTCATTTAATTTGGACTTCTTTTTTTTCTTTTTGTCTGACAAAAAAAAAATTCAGACTTAAAATTTCTCCCAATTGTCCTAGGATGCCAGAGAAGAAGTGTAGGCTGGTTAGATCGTGATGCTCTGGTTGTTTAGGAGCCCTACTTGAGGTGTGCTTGATGAATATTGAAGTGAATATTGGAAAATGCCAGAACATTACAGGACTCTGTCCTTATTCTTTTCCTTTTGAACATGTTTTTAATGATTTGGTGAAGACATAGAACTCATAACTCTTTGTAGCTGGACCTTGAAGGGGTATTAGAATTGTGCTCAACATCCTGTGATGGGAAGCTGGCTACAGTGGCTAATCCAAAAAGTTGTTACATGACCAGAAATCTGGAGGAGGCCTGTTCTGAGAGCTCCAGCTGCTTGATGAGTCCTTTGGAGACCTGCTCCATAGTCCTCACCCTAGGGTTTGAATCCTTATATCAAGTTTAGGCAGTAAAGCCTCAAAAACAGAAGTGAATTGTTTTCTCTGTAGAGGTACAGAGATAAGACAGCTGGGGCCTGGAATAGCTGTTTTCAACCATGAAGCCTTTGGACTTTCTGCTGAGGAACTCTCAGATGGCTTGCTCACCTATCATCCAAGATAGCAGCTTGTGGGAGGACGGGATAAAGGGAGGACAGAATAAAGGAAGGGCAGGAGTGTGTGCTAGTTACTTTTAAGGAGTTTTAAAAGCTGCTGTATAATATTTTTATAGATTTTATTGGCCAGAGCTTAATTACCTGATTACACCCAAGCTTCAAGGGAGGCTGAGAAATGAACTCTTTATTTCTGGGGCCAAGTATCTAAAATCAGGGTTAACTGGAAGGAGAAGGTAGCCAGCAGTCTTTGCCACATTTTTAAATTGAGTATGGCTTCATCTGTAAGCTTACACCTTAGCTTTGGGCAGGACACAACTGATACTTTAAGGGCACACTGTGAGTGTCACCCAGGTCCCTTTTCTTCAAGAGAACAGTGTCTTTCCTGAGAGTCTTCACTTAGTGGCTAAAACTTGCCACCTGATACCCACAAAAAAAAAAAAAAAAAAGAAAGAAAGAAAGTCTGAAATTTTTTAACTGGGTGTATTGCCACTGGGAACATCTGTTACAGAGTGATAGTCAAAATCTCAAATAATTGCAACAGAGCTCTGTGTGTCCTGTTCTACCTAGAACCTGATTGCAAAAGGGTCACAACAAGATATAATTGCTAGATTCATCAGAAGTAGCAGAAAGCCTAACCAGTTTATTTTTCTTACCATAAGACATCTTTACCAACATACTTTATTTCATGAGCTTGGTAAAAAATGTTCAATGTCACTGCATATCTCTTGACTTTTGTCTCTTGATCTCAAGATAGCTGCTGAAGCTTCAGCCATTACATCTATATGTAAGACAATAAAAAAGAGGAAGGAGGAAGAAAATATAACTTTACTTTCATTGCATTGGTCAGAACCTTGTCACAAGGCTATTCCTACCAGCCAGGGTGATTGGATAAGCAAGTATCTGTGTATATCCAGCCCCTGCACACCCCTCACCTCCAGTAGAGACTAAAGAGAAAAGGAGGAGAGGGTATTGAATGATCTAACTTGTAGTGTCTATCACAGAATGGATTAAATCCTATATTTGAATTTATGAAAGTAACTGATTGTACAGTTAGTAATAGACTTGTCAGTAAAGAAAAAAATATGAACCTTTGCCAACCATTAATTCTGTATGATAGTATGCTGCTGCTTAGGAATTAATGTAATTGGTTATAGTGATTAAAAGTGTAATATTTCAGAAGTAACAAGTGGCTCATTGATTATCTATGCCTATCTTAGACTGTATTGGAAATAAGGGATTCTGATGTGCCATAAGAAGTGGGAGTACTCAGTGCAGAGAAGAAGTGGGTAGGGAGATGGGGTATTGGCTGAAAAACTCAGCACTTGTCTAGCTGAGTTACTATCAGATTGTGTTACTTCTCATATACAGAGAGGTTCCAAAAATAGAGATAATTTTTACTTAATATAAGATTTCTTTCACTTTTACAAAAGACCATGATTCTAAAATGTTTATAAAGCTTTTTGTGTTAAAGCATCAGTAAAAACAGCCATGGCAAATTGCCACACTTAAGTATTGTCAGTATTAAGTGTTGAGCAGAAGGCCACCTACAGGACTGGGATCATTGTGTTGAGATCTGAGAAAAGGCAGTAGTAAGATGCCTTTGAGAGTCAGTGATACAGATAGTATTTATAGGGAATATATTTCTCTGTCATCATATCTTTTATCTAACCTCTTAGAAGATAAGTATTGAGTTGTAGCTTAAAGAACTTTGACATTCTTAAAATACTTTCCTTTCAAATGTATTAGTTTTCTATTGCTACAAGACAAATTAACAAAGCAACAAAAACAGCAGACATCTATTTATTACATAGACTCCCAAGTTTCTGAGACTCAGAATTGGGGATGACTTGTCTGGGTGATTTTTGCTTAGGGCTTCTCGTGAGGTTATATGATCACTGAGATAATCAGTTCATTTCCAGACTAATGCATGTAGTTGTTGGCATGCCCAAGGTGCCTACAGCTCTGAGAGCCTCCAGTTTTTACCCCATGAACTTTTCCGTAGGCTGTCTGGTTCTTAGCTATGGCATTTTTTAACTATGCCCAGAAGAGAGTGAGAGCCCAAGATAGAAACTGCAGTCTTTCATAACCTCATCGTATACAGCATGTATTATTACTCCTGCCCCTGCTGTTGGTCACAGAGACCAACCCTACTAATGAGGGAGGGAACAGACAGCATAGGATATGAGTGCCTGGAGGATGAGATCACTGAGTGCCAGCTACCACCTGAAACAAAGATGCTATCAGAATCCACAGCTAAGGGAAGAATAATTAGTATCTTTATATTTTTAATTTTATGAAGTTTATTTTGGTATATACTGACAAAAATATATGGACACTAAATGTAGTCTAGCACGAGATACTAGATAAATAACAGTCTTTATATAACTGATTTGGAATTTTTTTCTCATTGTGGAAATAAAATGTGTGCTACTTAAGGTTTTCTATTTGTGGATTCCAGGTTGAAGATTCAGTGATAACACAAAGACTTATAGATGCTTGTGATAGATTGCTGCTTATCAACTGTCATCGTAGATTTTTATTTTTCTTAGTTGTTTTCTTTATTTTATACATTCTTCATCTGTTTGGCCTTTGTGATGGAAGACTCTCCCTGACAGTCTGCCTTCTACTTTTTTAATGATGGAATTTTGTAACTTTATTTTAACAGATAAAAATCTGGATAACGCCGCAGAAGCAGCTGAACAATTTAAATTAATTCAAGCAGCATATGATGTGTTGAGCGACCCTCAGGAAAGAGCATGGTAAGCATCACCTTGTCTTTCCCATCCTCATTTATTTTGTTGGAAGGGATCATCAATATAGGTTTGATTTTTTTTTTTTTTAATTAATACACTAGATGGTTTCAGTGTGTTCTGAAGCATCTATCAGTTATTCATTATGTAAAATGCAGTATTATGGTAGGAAAGAACTTTGGAGATACTTCTTGCTACTATCTGGTTTAATAGGTAATTAAACAAAGTTTGGTGATTTTATGTAGTTTTAATTTTTATACTTTAAGTGATTTCTTATTACTTGGTCCCTTTGGTGTACGACAAATTTACTGATGTCCAACAGGAATAAGATTGACTTGTCCTTAAATCAGGTAGATCTGGGTGGCAAGGAGGATCTCACATTCAAGACCAACCTAGGCAGTAAAGTGAGACTTGTTTCAAACAAACAAAAGCAAGAGTGTTTAATACAAGAATTATACATAAAATATGTGAAGATATTTGTTAAGTTTCTATATTTATGACAGATACTTTTACTAGATAATTTAATTTCATTTCTAAATAAAAGTTTCTATGTTTGAAAGTTGTGAGTTTTCAGATTCTTGATTAACCTTTTACAAGTGGTAAGTTTTAAACCCTGACACAGACATGCAAGATCCTGCTGTTACAAAGTGAAGGTGGTGTTTGGTGCTACTATGTATTGTCTGTGCATTCAGCATTGTGCAGAACAGCTGACTCTCAAAGAGAGATTGTGAAGAAAATTCTATAAAATTGTCTTTTGTAAGAAAATCAGAGATTCCTAAACTTTTCACTGCCTGAAGAATTTGGAGATCTGGCCTTAGAAATTCTGCTTTCCTCTTGGAACTTTTCAGATTCCTCCCTGACTTCCTCTTGTTTAAAGCCTCTTCTCTAGAATTTACGTTGTTTTCTTGACCCGTGAACTTTCATGTCTTTTTACATAAAGCTCCTGCCTGGTAGCTCTCCTATTGCCTTGAAGGCAGTACCATGTAGTGGCAGGAACCTGATTTGCCCAGTGCAGGAGACCTAGTTTTGAATTCTGATGATACTGTTTGTGGATTTTATGATCATGGACAGTATTTAATATCACTGAAATTTAGTTTTCCATTGTATTAAACAGTGATGATAGTAACTACCTTTACAGAGTTAATATGAATAGTAATTATGTATGTATAAAGCTCATAGATTTAAGTTTACTTAAACATAAAAAGAGTCTTATCTTGCAATTTGGTAAATTCTCAAATTTACTTATGGACCAAATTGTGTCCAATATTGTCTTTATTTGTACTGTTTCTTTCCTATGCAAATGCACCTTTCTAGGAGAATCATAGAAATTTACTGGCTTTTTCAATTTCTCTGTTCATATGGGCTAATATTACATAAAGTTAGGAGCTATAGCACAGTTTTTTAAAAGGCTTAAGTCTTTTCATGTTAATATTTCCTTAAAATTGGTTGTATATTGGACACATTGAAATGTATACTGACATTTTGGTTGTTATGTAGTGAGGAGTCCTTTGAATTCTTATTTATTTGTCTTTCACCAATGGTGCCTATTTTTTATATTTTTATTTTTAAGGTATGATAATCATAGAGAGGCCTTACTTAAAGGAGGGCTTGATGGAGAATACCAAGATGACAGCTTAGATTTGCTTCACTATTTCACTGTTACCTGTTATTCTGGTTATGGAGACGATGAAAAGGTAAGATAAGTGAAAGTCTTAATTTCTTAAGACTCAAATAGAGAATTCTTAAAAGTATTCTAAAATAAAAAGTGAAGCAATGTTCATTTTGAACCCTTAATATTCAGTGCCTTCATATTTACATAAAAACTTCCAATTGATACTAAATGTACTGGCATTGACCAGAGCTGAATTCTATAAATTTTCAATGTGAAGAGTTTTTCACCTTACATTTTAAAATATTTCTTTGTGATTAGACTATAAAAATATTAAGTATTTGTGTTTCTGATTTTTTTTTTTTTTAGGGTTTTTACACAGTGTATCGTAGTGTTTTTGAAATGATTGCAAAGGAAGAACTGGAATCTGTGTTAGAGGAGGATGTTGAGGATTTCCCAACTTTTGGAGACTCCCAGAGTGACTATGATAAGGTAAAAGACAAGCGCATTGCATTTTATAATTAGCATTTATCACTCTTTTTCCCATTTTCTGATTTTTAAAGAAATGAGTCCTAGTCCTGTGTTATGACGACTTCTCTTATCCTCTCTCCTTTTGAAGGAACATGCTGTTCTCTCAGAGCCACACTCTTTGCTTTTTCTGTAAATGGACCATAATCTTTTTCTTTGGCCAGTAAGATTGTTTTCTTTTTTTCTTAAATCTATTGAAGAGTAGTTTAAATCCATAAAAGGATTGTGCATTGATTAGTGGGATTGCTATATATATATGAAAAAAGAAAGTGGGATGTTTTGGATCATTAATATTTACTGCTTTTTTTAAAAAAAGTAGAATTTTACCTATTTTCTTTGTCACTAGGTAGTCCACCCTTTCTACGCTTATTGGCAGAGTTTCTGCACCCAAAAGAATTTTGCTTGGAAGGAAGAATATGATACACGGCAAGCTTCAAACCGCTGGGAAAAACGAGCCATGGAAAAAGAAAACAAAAAGATTCGAGACAAAGCAAGGAAAGAGAAGAATGAGCTTGTTCGGCAGCTGGTAGCTTTCATCCGGAAAAGAGATAAAAGAGTGCAGGCACATCGGAAGCTTGTAGAGGAACAGAATGCAGAGAAGGCGAGGAAGGCTGAGGAGATGAGACGGCAACAGAAACTAAAGCAGGCAAAGTATGTGACTAGCTCCTTTCTCAGTTTTAGGAGGGATCAAGGGCAGCATCAGTAGGGACCAGATTTTGGGTTCCCATGTCATGTTCAGTCATTATTGTGATTTAATCCTGGCATTAGGTAGAATGTTTTCACCCATTATGAAAACATTTTCATTTTAATTTGGGTATTTTTCTTTAGAGGCCCTTTATACTTGAAGTCCTTTATATATTCTTATAAAATCTAATAGTAACTAATGTTAATTGAATTCTTACTGTGTGCAAGGCCCTGTTCTGATTGCTTTCCCACCACAATTCTGTGTAGAATTTTTTTTCTTTTTTTTTTTAATTTTATTTTTTAGTCGTAGTTGGACACAACACCTTTATTTCACTTATTTATTTTTTTATGTGGTGCTGAGGATCGAACCCAGGGTGTCGCATGTGCGAGGCGAGCACTCTACTGCTGAGCCACAACCCCAGCCCTCTGTGTAGAATTTTTATCCTCTTCATTCTTGTGAAGAAATGAGACAGAAAGCCCAAGGTCACATACTTAGTCAATCACAGAGCTGGGAATCAGATCCAAGTTTACTTTAGGGCCTTGCTTTTAACCACCATGCAACATTGCATTTCTGTTGATATTCTGAGATATTAAGTTCATTTTAGTTTCTTTAAAGTTTTGTTGTTAAGAGTAAACTGTAAACATTTGGGTCCAGAACATTGTAGTAAGTCATTCACTTACTAAAAATTCTACTTATTTCACCTGTCATCTTTTGAAGATTAGTATTTTATTTGACTTAAAGTGATCTGAAGACTTTTTACATGCTGTAAAGATTTATGTTTTAAAACCCATTATAAAGCAATTAAAACAAGCTAGGTGACAGGTTTCAGTGACTTTGCCAGAGATTTAACTTAAGCACAGGGTTTAGGTTTGTAAGCATTACAGCTCGGGAGGAAGAAGGTCTCTAGGGGATAGATTTTTAAGCCTAAGAAACGAGTAAAACCCTTGTAGAGATATGCTTGTCAGAGTAAGGCTTTGTTCTGTGAATCTAGACTGGCAGAACAGTACAGAGAACAGAGCTGGATGACCGTGGCCGATTTGGAGAAGGAACTCCGGGAGATGGAAGCACGATATGAAAAGGAGTTTGGAGATGGATCAGATGATAATGAAATGGAGCAGCATGAGCTTAAAGATGGACAAGATGGTAATTTTTATTGACTAACAAATTTTGGGAAATAAATTTTATTGTGTGCAAGGATGTACACTCAGAACACTACAAGTTCCAGTAAAGGGACCCAGGAATTGGACAGTAGGGAAGGGAAAACCCAGAGGATCCTTGAGTTCCAGCTGATTATTGCCAGTACTGTGCCAGAGTTTTCATTCTTTTGTTTGCTTTCTAAGTAAAGCTGGAAATCTGGATTTTATGGAACATCTCCCAATTTTTAATTTAATTTTTTTAATTAAAAATAATTGTATGGGTCTCACATAGGTACTCTATTGAAGCAGTCTAGTTCAGGTAGTTTGTTTATAAGTTACTTTGTCTGTAATCTAAATGACTTGCATTTCGGGCTGCTTAAATGTAATGACAGGTGAGCATATTCAGAAGTGTGACTGACTGGTCTTTCAAAGAAAATGCAGTTAAACAGTAGGTCAAGTTGTAATAGCAGTTATTTCCAGAAAAGCGTATTTTGTGCAAAAGTCTGTGTGGTATGTATTAATTATTTCTCTTTCTTCTAACTTTGTAGAAAGGCTTCTCTTAGTGTCCCAGAATATTTTCTGTGCCTCTATCATTAAAGCATAAGCAAGTAACTACGCCAAAAGTGAGGTTTTGGCATTTTTGAGAATAGCTGTATATCTGATTTTCCACACTGCCTCTGGCATTTCCATAAATAAAACCAAATTATATAAATAGTTTACTAATTTCACATAGCTGTGAATGTGATTTTTTTCTTACTAGTAGCCTGAACGATAAAATGACAAATTTTTATTCATTCAAAATGATTAGGAAATGAAGTGTTTTATTAGTGAATCAGAAATAGTATGTGAAAAAGTGCTTTGAAAATTATAAAGCACTTTATAAATGTGAAATGTCCTAATTCACAGCTTTATACTTTATAAGGTCATTTTTTAAAAAATTTTTATATTTTGTTTTTAGTTATACATGACAATGTATTTTGACGTATTATACATACATGGAGTGTATCTTCCCATTTTTGCAGTTATACACGATGTGGCGTTAACACGGGTTGTGTAGGAAAGTTATATCTGATTCATTCTACTGCCTTTCCTACTTCCATCCCTCTTCTTTTCCATTCATTTCCCTTTGTCTAATCCAGTGAATTTCTTCTCCCCCAGACACATGCTGATTGTGTGTTAGCATCCACATATTAGAGAGGAATATTCAGCCTTTGTTTTTTTGGTTTTTTTTGAGATTGGCTTATTTCACTTAGCATGATAGTCTCCAGTTCCATCCATTTAACAGCAAATACTATAATTTTCCTTTTATATACAAGATCTCACTTAATCCTCATGAAGTACCCTTTAAATGTAGATTTTGCCAATGAAATTGTATCCATTTTACTGAAGAGGAAAGTAGGAGTCTGGAGATTGGCATAAACCTGAGAACATAACCCACTTTGAGATGTAGATTTTTTTTTTTTTACTTCAAATCCAGCATTCTAAATTAACGGATTAATTGAAGATTATTTCGCATATATGATATTTTGAAAGTACACACATAATTGGAAAATAACACCACGTGCAATAGGTTCCACTTTGATTTTACCTTCCATTATTTCAGTTACTTTTGGTCAGCTGTGGTCTGAAAATATTAAATGGAAAATTATATAAATAACTTGCTTTAAATTGTGCATTAATCTTAGTAGTGTGATAACATTTTGCACAATTCTGTCTCACCCCATTTGGAAAGGGAATCATCCCTTTTTCCAGAGTATATGCTACTCATAGTCACTTAGTAGCCCTCTAGGTTATCAGATTAACTGTCATGGTATCACAGTGCTTTTGGTCAGGTAACCTTTTGTTTTATTTAATAATCATCCCAAAATGCAAGACTAACAATGCTGGCAATTATGATATGCCAAATAAAAGCCTTAATAAAGTGCTTTCTTTAAATGAAAAGTTGCCTGTAATCCCATTGAAACTCAGGAGGCTGAGGCAGGAGGATCTCAAGTTTAAGGACAGCCTCAGCAACTTAGTGAGGTCTTAAGCAACTTGGTGAGACTCTAGCTTTAAATAAAAAAAAAACAGTTGGGGATGTGGTTAGTGGTTAAGTGCTCCTGGCTTCAATCTCTGGTACCTAAATAAATAAATGTAAATAAATAAAATAAAAGGTGGAAATTTTTGATTTAAGGAAAGGAAAAAAGTCGTGCGGAGATTACTAAGAACTCAATCAAGTAAGAATGAATCTTGTAACTATGAAATTGTAAAGAAGAAAAACAATCCATACTAGTTTTACTATTCAATTTCAAACTGCAAAGTTACAGCCACCGTTTGTAGTAAGTGCTTGGTTAAGGTGGAAAAGGCATTCATTTATATAATTTGGTAGTATCTGTGTTTTCAGGTATCCACCAAAGGTTTTGGAATAAATCCTGTGGTTAAGGGGAACTACTGTCCTGGACATTAACCCTAATAGGATGTATTTTGGTTATTTGTGACTTCAGTGAGTAGTTCTTCAGACTTATATTAACATTACTTATAAAGAACCAGAATGTAGAATATGAAAGAGATACCTTGGGATCTTTATTATTGGTAATAATAAATCCCAAATGGCATTAATTTATTTTTTATTTCCTAAAAAGTAGAATATGGGATTGTTGTTGGAAGAATTCCATTTGAGCTCCTTAGTCACTTGGATTTCATGGGATTACAATGATAGTAATTATTCTGTTTTTAATAAAACCTCAAGCTTATAAAAAGGGCTGTAAAGAAAATGTTTAAACTTTTCCATATAATATACTGTTTTAAGACCTGTTCAGTAATAATGGACTGTGGTAAGCTAAGTTTAAGCTTATCAGAGTAGATCACAGTTGTAAAAACCTGTGTTGAAAAACCTGCTTTGTGGTTGAATATTAAAATGGCGTTTGATGTTCTACACTGAGTTCCCACTTAGGATTCACAGATTTTCTGAATCTTCTGAGCATATTTATGAAAAGAATGTGTAAAATATGGTGATTTATTTGAAAGCTTTTGTTGCTTTTGAAAGACCAATTCAAGTCCTGACAGCCTATGGTTGGTTTGCTTTTGTTTTTGTTTTTATTTTTGTTTTAGATTCATTTATCATTTGTTACTTTAGGTTTGTATTCTAACCAAATAGGATTCTTACCATAGGCTTTCCTCTCTTAGGTAAAGATAGTGATGAGGCGGAGGATACTGAGCTTTATGATGACCTTTACTGCCCAGCATGTGACAAATCTTTCAAGACAGAAAAGGCGTAAGTTTAATATCATTGAACTCACCTTTTCTTTTGAGGTAAAATGTAACACTTTGAATGTCCTTAAAAGACTTTGCTTACAGCAGTAGATCACTAACCCCTACTGGGAAGAAAGAAGTTTTTGTACCAGTAGTTAAGCCTGTTGTACCAATTGTCATTCATCTCATTATTCCTATGTAATATCTGCTTTTTAAACACACATGATGTTTCCAGAAAGAAGTTCTGCTTGTTGAGACAAGACATAGTCATACAGTTGAGGAGGCTAGATTGCAATCATCTATCCCCATTATTGGCATCAAATGTCCAACCATTGCTGTTCCATGGATGTTGTTAATACCAGCCTAGGAACTTTAAACTGCCAAACTGTGGATACTTCATAACATTCTTAAGGGTTCTCTTATTTAGGGTTTGCTACTTCACAATTAGACTCCAGTTGTGCATCTCCAGGTGGATACTTCATAACATTCTTAAGGGTTCATATCTGGGGACACACAAAGTCACCTCTTCATTGGTGATCATTTTGATTACCTAATCAAGGTGTTATTCAGTTTTTCTATTGCAGAATTAGTACTTTTTTCCCTTGCAAAAATTTTCCTTAGAAACATGTTTAATCTGTAGGGAGAAATCCCCACAAATGTAGCGTCCATTGACAATTTTCATCTTGCATGAGTTGAGTATCGCTAATCTGAAAATTCAAAATCTGAAATTCTCCCAAATCCTAAACAAAAATTTTGAGTGCAGATATAAGTAGGAAAATTCTGCACCTCTTTTCTTGCAACGGACCTAGTCAAAATGCAGGCACATTGAACATATTGTATAAAATTACCTTCAGGCTATTTGTACAAGATGTTTGTGAAACATAGCTGAATTTTGTGTTTAAACTTGGATCCCATCCCCAAGATATCTTACGATACGATATGTTTATTTTGGATAAGGAATACTCGACCTTTACAAGTCTTCCTTGTGTTGGTTGCCAAATGATGCTTTTCTGCTCCTTCTGCATTTATTAATCAGCATTTGGTGTTCTCTTGTAAAAACAAGCACCCTCTCTTCCCCCCATTTATCTACCTTATTTATGTATTTATTATTAATTTTCTTTTATTATTGAATTTGTAAATTTTTGTCAGTGTGATCACATATTTATAGATGTGCTCAGAATTCCTTCAGGCCAGCTTCTTATGTCTTTTTGACATGACCTTATCATTTTGAGCACTTATTTATAATACAGTGATTATATCTTAATTTATCCAAGGGGCTTTGTTCTGAAGGAGAATTTTACTTGGAAGGAAAAGTAGTAATCAAAATTTGGGAAGTCAAAAGTCTGAACAGATGACATGAAGTATTGAGTGACACAGGTATCCTACTTTCCTCTTCTTCTTTTTCAGTGCTGGGGTTGGAACCCAGGGTTCTTTGCATACAAGGCAAGCACTATTATTGAATTATATCCTAGGCCTAACTCTCCTACATTCTAGTATATCTAACTCTAATATTGTGAGGTCTATTTTGTGAAATGTTTTTTAGTTCCCTGTAGATACATTGAAATAGCATTCTGTACAGTTTCAAACATGTGTTTGAACTTAGATTCAGGGTAGTAGGAGTGAGAAGGTAGACTCCGCTTGAGAAGGTGAAAATCAGCTGTTGAAAAAGCAAAAGAAAGTAAACTACTTTTGTCCTTCAAGCCTTCATATCACTGTTACTCTAGGGGTATTCCTTTTGAAGTTAGAATGTTTATCTTTCCATTTTCAGTGATCCCTGAAAGACTGTAGCATGGCCTGAAATACAGAAGCCACTTTTAGCAAATACTTAGTGATTAAAAGGAAATTGTGGAGAAAGCTTTAATTTCAAGAATTGAAAAATATATATATGACAAATATTTTCTCCCTCTGTGGGGCTTGCCTTTTTGTTCTGATAGTTTCTTTTGTTCAATGTTTTTTGTTTTATTTTATTCATAAAAATAATATTTTCTTGAAATAAAGGTACAAAATCATGCATTAAGAGAAAATAACAAATAGAGAATTTTGCAAGAAAAGAAGGAAAAAAATATATAAAAATTAAAAAGGAAGAAAATGAGGGGAGTGCTGAGATCCCAGAGGCCTTACTATCTGGGCAGTCCTGACCAACTTCTGTTGCTCTGTAAAAAAAATTCCAAACATATGGCAATTTCAACTTGGTTGCAATCATCCAGCAACTTCCCTGAGAATATATGAACATTAGTACAGCTACTCATATCAGATTCTTCTTTCAGCATGAAGAATCATGAAAAGTCAAAGAAGCATCGGGAAATGGTTGCCTTGTTAAAACAACAATTGGAGGAAGAAGAAGAAAATTTTTCAGGATCTCATATAGATGAAAATCTATTGAATGCCAATTCCGAGGAAGAAATAGAAGACACAACAAAGCAAAAGTACTTTTTAATATTAAATTTCACTAGATATATTTGTCACATTTAGAGATTATTTAAATGCTATTTTGTCTTAAAAATTTTCTGTTATGCTAATATTTTTTCAGTCCCTTATAGTTGATGGAACTTCATCGGGTTGAAGTGGGTAAAGACAGGATGTCAGATCTAATTTTTACAGAATATGTTATGACAGTATTAAAAGCAGTTTCATACTTAGGCAACCATTTAACCACTGCTGCTGTTCTCAAAAGTTACAATATGAATATTTTGCTTTTATTTTTAGTGCTTTACAATATTAAATATTTTAAAATATTTCTTTACCACTAATATTTCATTTCAATATTTTCTTCCTTTCACTTGGTGAGTTTTCACAAAGTCAACTGTTTAACATTTTTATGTATATTTGCTCTTAGGCTTTCTAAAAAACAGAAGAAAAAGAAACAAAAACCGGCACAGGTATGTTGAAAAGGTTTTATTAACATTAAATATCATTTATAAAGTTACAGAACTTTCATTCATTCCATTTAGCTTGTATTAAAGAGAGTAGGTTTATTCCATAATTTTATATTGGTTATCAAATTGATTAAAAGGAAGTGAAAGTATTTTCTTTATCCCTTGCGTCCCCCCTTCTATATATGTAATTAAATTGCTGTTTCAGGTTTAAATTTTTCATATGTATAACTCTCCTGGTAAGAATTATCTGAGTGCCATATTAAAAAAGTATGGATACATCTGATGATTGGACTTTCAAGTCACCTAAAATCTAAAGCTAAGAATATCATTATATTTCTAATTTTATTCTGCTAACAACATCAGTGAAATATTGCAGAAGGAACATTTGATTAAAAACTCATAATGATATATTGAGAAAATATTTCTATAACTCAGAAGTTTAAATATTTCACAGTTGGTATTCAGAATCAGTTTATAGTATTATTCTTTAGTATTATGGTGTCATTACACATGCCAAACACAATCTTATGGATGACTCTGGAACCTGTAAAAACTGCAAGCTTGTCCATTTTAGTAATGATATTTGGTAGTTCTAAAGCAAATTGGATTGATTTTGTGTCATTTTAATATAACTTAGTTATATTAATAAGCAGTAAATGTTTTTTAAAAACATTTAGGTAATCTATTAATAATTTCTCATAAGTTTAGATTTGGCTTATTTATCCAAATGGTTATAATAATCTATTAGGTAGTTTTTATCACTTTCCTATTCCAAAAATGATATATGGTACAAATAAATCACTGTTTAAATTGTAATTTGGAACTTTTTTTGCTTCAGTTATAAATCAGCATAGCAAATCATATATTCTTTTAATAAATTTACTTGTACCATCATTCACTCAAAGACCCTATAATCACTAGTTTAGAACATTTTCTCTTTTCTTTATATGAGTGAATACCACTAGAATAAGGACAGAGTTTATAGCAAAGAAGAATTTATACTTAACACAAGCCTGTTATAATTCACGGAGAATGGGTTCTATTGTGTTAGTATTTTCTTAATTGACAAAATGCTTCAAGTGACTACTCCATTTTTTTCCTTCCATAGCTAATATTTCTTTATAGCACCTCTTGTTTACAATTTCTGATTATGTTAGGTTCAGATAAGTGTTCTGTATGTAGCACTTTTCCTGGTATTTTCTAAGCTCTCTTGAAGTGGAAGGCAGTGTAGAGACATGTACTGATGGACCAAAGAGAAGCAGGCAGCAAGTATAATTCTGGCACTCCAGATTGGGAAGGTTTTTTGTATGATTAAATAACAGTAAGAACAAAACCAGTTGGATAAACCAAAAAGAATTATAAAACAAAGCCCTCAAACCTAAAGGACTAAAACTGAATGTAAATAGAAACAAATGATTCTGACAAAAAAGGATTAGTTCAACTTTTCAGTGTGGTTGCTAAGTTTTGAATTTTGAACACAAGCACTTTCTAAACTCATGAGATAATAGTCAAAAGATAAAGTTAACTGCAAAGAAACTAAGTCTTGAATTTAGTTGGGTTTTGGTAGTATTAATAAGGTATTTCTGAAACTCTTTTATATTATAGGACAGAGATAGTGGATAAATATATTATACTGTTAGAAACTAGATTCTCTGTGGTAGAAAAGAAATATAAATTCAAATTAAGGAAAAGAGAGGAAGATTGGAATTGGAGATGTTGGTAGGAGTTCATGATTTAAAACAGCAATGAACTAGAAGTAGTGACATCCCTCGGCAATGAGCAAAGTTAGCACCCACATCTTGGTTTCTAAGTTCCTTTTCTCTGACAAAGAAAGGCAGGCTTGGTTTTTGGAGAAATGGATGATTCCGTGACTGAGATAAAGAAGGTGAGCCTAGAACACTTAACACTAGAAACTAAGGAAGTGCTAAAAAGCTCATAGGGATATGTCATCAGTCCTTAAGACCCTGCTTACAGAACTTGCCAATGTGAGAAAATTTGAGTCATAAAAAGAAATAATGGTGATAGATTTTTACATATTGATTTTATTAAAAAAATTCATGTATCTATATTGAGTTTACAAAAAGGTTGGGAAAATGGAAATGGGAAAACTTTATTATAGAAAAATATGAGCTAGTACAAATTTAAGTGGCATAAGTAATAGAGATAGAAAATCACTGTTCTGTAATCACCAGTATAATAAATGGTTCAGGCAAGAATTATGAAATGAGATGCCAAATGCATTGGATGAATGGCTGTTGTAGACGATTTTCATTGTTTTAGTCAGCTTTTTTTCACTATGACCAAAAAAACCCAGGTAGAAAAATTTAAAGGATGAAAAGTTTAGTTTGGCTCACCTAGAGGAGTCATCCATAGTTTGCCAGCTCTGAGCCTAAGATGAAGTAGAACATTAATGGCAGAAGAGCATGGTGGAGGAAAGCAGCTCAGGACACGGTAACCAGGAAGCAGAGAGAAAGAGCTGCTTCGGGGTCAAAGTACAAATCCCTGAAGGCTTATCCCGAAGTATTTTCTTGAGCTACACCCTACCTGCCTGCATTTACCACCCAGTTAATCCATATCAGTGGATTAATGCACTGATTAGGTTCCACCTCTTGTTAGATCATGTCACATATGAAAATTCTTGCATTGTCTTATACTTGAGCTTTGGTGTAACTAAAATTTGAACACATTACTTCTGAACTCCTTCCTCAAAAGTAAATTATAAGAGTCTGTCCATGCTCCCTTTTTTTGTCCATGACTGTCTCACAATGCAAAATGCATTTAGTCCATTTACAGGCGTTCCCATAGTCTTAACAGTTTCAGCCTTGCCCAAAAGTCCCAGTCCAAAATCTCATTTGAGACTCAAGGCAAATTCTTGGATGCTTGCTGAGAGCCATAGCCGAGTCGGAATGGCCCCTGGCATTTTGCCAATAGTATTGGTTGAGAGGCAAGCCATTAAGATGATGCTGGATTGATTTGGTTGTATATTAGACCTTTACTGTCCGCCTTGGCCTGCTACTTTGGAGTTCCCGCACTTCCCCAACCAATGGGAACTCTCCGGGAATCCCCACGAGAACTCCAAAGTTTTTCAGATTTTTCTGTCTGTTTTCTGCTCTTAATCACAGTAAACTTATCTAAAAAGCTTCTAGCAATATCCATGCCACCACCTGAATGCTGTTCTGCCTTGAAATTTTCTCTGCCAGAATAATTAGCACATCATCTTTAAATTCAACCTTATAAAAAATCTCAGTACATGGGCAAGGTGTATATAACTTTTTTGCCAGAACATAACTTGAATGGCCTCTGGTTCAATTTCTAGTAGAGTCTCTTCTTCTGAGACCCCATGAGCCCAGTCTTTACTGTCCACAGTTCTGTGAGCATTCTGGTCTTCTCAGCTCCAACTAGAATTGCCCATAAGCCTACTTATAACATTCTAAAACTTTTCCAATTTTTTATATCTAAACTTTTCAAAATTTCCCCCACCTCACCCCAAAACCAGCTCCAAAGGCTTCTGAACCATGTGGTTGGGTCAGTTATAGTAATGACACCGCTTGTCAGTTACCAAATTCTGTTTTAGTCATCTTTTGAGTAACTGACCAGTATACCCAACAAGAAAAACTGCAAGGAAGAAGAGTTTATTTTGGCTCACATTTTCAGAGATTTAGTTCATGGTTCGCCAACTCCATAACTCTGGGCCTGAGGTGAGGCAGAACATCATAGCAGAAGGGCATGGTGGAGGATAGCAGATCAAGAAATGATATCAGGAAGCAGAGAGTTGTATACACCAGAGACAAAATATAAAATCCAAAGTTGTGCCAGCAATAGCCTTCTTCCTCCAACCACTCCATACATGCCTACAGTTACCACCCAGTTAATCAGCATCAGTGGATTAATCCACTGATTAGGTTCCACCTCTCATAACCGAATCATTTCACCTATAAAAATTTTTTTGTTGTTACATACATAAGCTCATGGTGTAATCTCTAAAGTTAGAATTAGGGATAATATTTACACTTTTAAATGTTTTGTTTTTTAACTATAAAAAAATAGTTGCTCATTGCTAATCAGTTAGAAAACATGGAAAAATGTAAATGCTATACCTCATTAAATTGTGATTGGACATAATATGTAAAATTCTCTCTTCCTTTTTTGCTAATTTTTTTATATAATTAAATGAGTATTTTAGAAAGATATTCTAAAGGTCTCTGAAGTGGAGCTACTCCTTGCCTGATGTACCTACTTCTCCTTTTTAATTCCTGAAATCTACCTACTAGAGTATATGGGGACATTTATCAATTTATTATAACTATTTGATAATATAAGAAATCAGTATTAGATATATTTGTTTTGTAATGGCATGTATATTTTCTCACCTAGAATTATGATGACAATTGTAATGAAAATGGACCTGGAGAAGGAATAAAGGTTGATCCAGAAAATATCAACTTAAATCAAGACAGTGCCAAAAAATTAGAAGATAGTCCCCAAGAAAATGTCAATGTCACAGAGACCATTGAACCTTGTGATGATCCAAAAAGTGAAGCTAAAAGGTAAGTGAGAGTTGCATATTATTTTCTAATTACTGAATTTGATGATAAAGATAACTTTTATATATCAAAATTTTCTTTCCATGAATAAGATAGGTGTAAACTGTACATAGATATAGAGTCACACAGAGAGAGAAAGAGACAGAGGAATGAGTCAGGCTTGTTAGAAACAGAATCCTGTAGTACTATGGTCACAGACAGTTCAGCAACATGACCAGAAACACTGATTCAGTTCCAGTTTTCCTTGCACTGCCCTTGTTTTTATTTTGGCCTTGACATTCAAATGAGACCAAGACTGCCTTTGAGTCTATTTCCCCACCCTGATTCCCCTCGAGCTTTACCAAGTAAATCTTCATGCTTGGGACAGCATGCTGTGTTCAGCCCCATGGCATTGTCAGAGTACAGGTCAGCAGCTTGGGTCTTCCTGCTAAAAGAAACCCTGGAGTCCTGGTGCTGCCAGAATTCTCAGTGGTGGATTAGAGGAAAGTCTTACTCAGGGAAGAGATCTAGTCCTTCTCCTAGCTTCTTGTCTGACTTCCTTGTCCCCATCCTTATCTGTTCCTCTAGAATACAGAGTTGTTTCTTATTCCTTGAGGAAGGATTTAAACAGTAGCCTCAGGTTTTTGTTCTCTTAGAAAACAGCTAAAGTCTAAGTACAAGAGTAAAGTGGCAGAGTAAGTGAAAAAGCTCAATGTTGGAGCTGAAGTGATAGGGCAGTGGAGTGCACTTAGGGGTGTGGGGAATTCAGAAAGAGTAGTGTGAAAGAGAAACACATGACTGAGGCTCTTTGTGTAGAAAAGGAGGACAAGGAACAACACAGCTAGTAGATGCTAGGTGTTTGTTCCTATTTGACAAATGAGAAGAACTGAATCTCAGGTTAACTTGTCCAAAGACAAGAGCTGATAGGTGGAAAAGCTGGCAGTTAATCCCTTTCTGCCCGATTAGTCACTTGAAAGCACCTAGAACATCTGTCTCCATGAGGTTTGAGTGTCTTGTAGGGGATCTTGGGCTGTTTGGTGGGTACAAGGAGTGGGCCATGAAGTAGAGCTGAGAAATGGTAGGTTTGAGATAGATGCATTACCACTCCACCCTTCAACTGGTCTCCTAACTCTGAGACCTTTCTGCAGGGGCTCTGCTGTTTCTCTGTAGTGTGTAGACACTCTGGCTACTTAGTGAAAAGTGCTTCATTAAAAACTGTTTGTATATGGGGGCTGGGCTTGTGGCTCAGCAGTAGAGTGCTTGCCAAGCACATGCGAGGCCTCGGTTCCATCCTGAACACTACATAAAAATAAATAAATAAAAGAAAAGTATTGTATCCAACTGTTTAAGATTCATAGAGGAAATTGTGTAGAGAAATATTCAGAGTTCAAGCAGAACAGGAAAACCCTGACTGCTCTGTCAGGCAGTTTCTGGTTTAAAGGGTACAGGGGAAAGCCCACCAGATCAGGACATCATTTGTTAATGAAAGTAAATTTCCTACATGGAGAAAATTTTAATTTTATGAAAAATGCATTATAATGTCTTTATATTGCCATGAAATTATTGAATGATAAGGCTCAAGAACTTGATGTTTTTTGTGCAACCGCACTTAATATCATAGATCATCATTACTTCTGACTGGTTATGAAGATGGTTTGCTTTTTATTAAAATACACTGTATAAATATTCGGAGATATTTTAGAGGTATTATTTTTGTTTTTGTTTCAACTATTTTAAGTAAATTACTTAATTTTTGTGCCAAATTTGTTATTTAATTTAATCTCTGCAGGTACTTTTTAAAGCTGCTTAGTGACCATGTGAAGATTAAATTAGCCATTAAAATTAATGAACTAGCCTTTAAAGTACATCTCATCTTTTGATTGTTCTTGAAGCAAGATGACAGTTAAAAAGGGTACATTATTTTGTATTATGCTAAATAATTTATTTTCCAGTGTTCCTAAGCCCAAAGGAAAGAAAACCAAAGATGTGAAAAAAACTGTCAAAATACCTGCTGAACCACAAATACTGGTAGGTCAAAACCATATTCACATCTTTGGTGGGTCTTGTTTGAGCAGCATAATGTCCTAAAGATAAAAATGTGTATGGGGTTAATCCTTCCCCAACAATCTGCAACATGTGGATCCATCATGGTTTTGCATGCTGAAGGCAGAATTTATATATCTACTACTATCATTTTTTTCTTCTAAATGAGAAGTATATTAGAAATACTAGATACTAGAATAGGTACTATTTTATATTATAATCTAAACTCTGTATCAAATTCTGATGATTAATTATGAAGCATAAATATAAGTTCTCTAGTCTGTGTGGTGCATGCCATTGAAAATCTCAGAATGCTTAGAGCTGATGGTATTAGTTGATGAGATTTAAATTCCAGGAATATCCGCTTTCAGTGAACCTGTTTTGGTAGCTTTTTTTTTTTTTTTTAAGTTGTATTTTGAAGATATTTGATGTTTAAACACTGTTCTCAAGTGATAACACTTGTTTTATTTATGTTTTGTTCCCCTTCTCAGAGTGATATTCTTATCAGCTGTACAACCTGCCATAGTGAATTTCCATCCCGGAATAAACTTTTTGACCATCTGAAAGCTACCGGTCATGCAAGAGCACCTCCATCTTCATCTTTAACCAGTGTAACAAGTAGTCGAAGCAAGAAAGAGAAACGTAAAAACAGATAGAAATTCTGCCAACACACTTTTTTTTTAAACTGTCTCTAAATTTTGAAACCAAAAACTGAACTGAAATCATCTAAAGAGTTAAAATTTCAGTGATCTGCAATTTATTGCATTGTGGAAGATTATTTTTTATCTTATAAAGACATTTTTTTGTTTAATATATATATTTTTAAACATTTCACTAGTGATTGAATTCTACTTTTGCCGTCTGAATTGACTTGAATGTCTCAAAACAGGTAAATATTGTAAAGTGTGTACCTTGATTTCTCACGTGAACAGAGATGTACAGGGAGAATTAAATTATTTTAACACAAATGCCCCTTTTTCCTTCTTTTTGTGAATTTCACACTATGTATTTTTATTTGTTTATTGCTTTTAAATTTTGATTTGTAATCTGTCAAAAACTCAGATCGTTTAAAAATCACCCTAGGTTTCTTTTCCACCTGACACCATGACTCCAGTTCTGACTTTTAAATTATTTTTAAATAAGCAATTGTCAAGTACTCTGTTCTTTTTTTTCCTCAAGGACAATGATAGGTGGGAACTAATTAAACATGTATGATTGTGTTTCAGGAATAATATCTTAAAGCCTAGTATGGTGGTGGCACACTTGTAATCCCCACTACTCAGGAGGCAGAGGCAGGAAGAGGGGTCATAAGTTAAAGGCTAACCTGGGCAATTTACCAAGACCCTGTCTCAAAATGAAATAAAAAGGGCTTTTGATGTAACTTATTAGTAGAGCACTTGCCTAGCATGTGTGAGGCTCTGGGTTCAACCCTTCGTACTGCCAAAAGATACATTTTTTTTGTTTTTTAATTCTGATTTGAATTGTAGAGGTAGAGGCAAATCAATTTAACTGGCACTTTCTCCATAGACATGGTGATGTTTATGAACGTAACAGGTAGCAAGCAGATGTTTCCAAATTTTACTGACTCCTTAACAAAGGGTTTGTTCTTCATTGAGTTTCTTTCTTGTTTTTTTTTTTTTTTTCTTTTCATCATTCAATGAAAAAAAGCTTTCTTAATGAAAGATGATTTGATAGGGCAGATGCTTGAAAGCCATCTACTCTGTAGCAGTGGTGAATATAAAATCAAAAAGAAGCTAGAGAATCATTATAACTGTGTGTGACCAAATACACAATATAAATAAGTGGTGAGTCAAGTTTAGAATAGATTAAATACTCCGTTCTTTAAATTGGTCTTGAAAGTGATTTTAAACTCACCAGCTTGAAATGTGTATTTTCTGTTTCATGTGATTATTCCTGATCTTATATCCTCAAATCTTCAAATGAAGGAAATGTTAATATGTGTAAGCTCTGAAATACTAAGAGTCCTCAATAGCAAGGTCTTTTCTGATAGCTTTATGTATAGTGTTGGTTATTGATTCTGTTACTGATTTAAAAATATGCATTTGAGTCTTAATTTTTTTTTCTTTTGTATTTAAAGATTTGGGGTTTTGGTTTGTTTGTTTTTTAACCATATTACTTTTCTGTTTTTAACTACTATTATTAATTCCTTGCAATTGTTCTTTCCCCAACTTTCTCCATCTTTCAGGGGCAATACTAGCCAGTTTTGTATATTCTGATCTTTTCCTCCCAGACTTCATTTGAACACTATCTAATAAAGTTGGTCATAATTATGAATAGGAATGTAGGTAAATAGAAGCACATGTAAGTCACATATTATTATATAGTGAAAAAAATATAAATATATTTTAAAGGGCAGAGAGTGGCTTATAAATGTTCTTTAAACCTTCTTTGCTTTCCTCTGTATTGACCATGCTTGTGTTTAATTTGTTTTTGCTTCATGTGAGTATTGATTGGAGTTACTTGTCACTGTTACTCAGTTTGACAAAAAAAAAAAAAATCAACCTTACTTTTCAAAAGATCTTCATCAGTTGTGATTGGAAGTTAGTGATCGTGTCTCTAATCTGATATGATGATGATAAATCCTCTCTTCATTTTCCTTATTACAACAAATTGCTTAGTATAATAGTATTATCTCCATTCATCATACAGGATCATTATGAAGGCAAATAAAATAGTATATATGAAAACAATTTTTAAAACAAAAGCTTTATACAAAATACTGCCCAATTTAAATGAATTAAATCTTTTTTAATTAAAATATTTGCAGATAGAAGTGTGCACATTAAATCATGTGTGCATGCAGTTTTAAAGGAATTTGTTTCCTAAATCTACATCTGAAGAAGAAAACAAGAACATACATATGATGCCAGGGGTAAAATAATATTTTTGGTGAATCAGTGGCAGTTTTGTTTGAGGCAAAATCATATTCTAAAATACAGGAGCACATATTTTGCATTGATTTCATTAAGGGTCAGTAGCAACTATCTTGATGTAACTTGGTTCAGATGTGAAGATAACATTGACTCTGGGAGAAGAGAGTTAAGGAAAATCCTCTTTTTTTTTTCCCCCTATGAGTCTTCAATGGAGCAAGAGTTTAGGCTTCTATAAAACCCATTTAGACTTTCCCTATTTCAAAATAGGACAATATCCTTTGTGAACAAAGTCAAGAATTAGCCCCCCCCGCCCCCCCCTCCCCCAAAAAAGTGATTTTGCTAATTCTTGACTTGGGTCACAAAGGAGAAAGAGCTCCACGGTGCATGAATTTTTAGAAGATCTGTCTTATCAGAGTGTGTGTTGATTGCTAGTAGAGCAATATTGGTATTTTTGTGTTGTAATAATACTTACAGGATTTTATCAGAAGATTTCATTTTCTTTAAGTCTTCCTCTGCAGAATTTTCATATGGAAAGCTACTTTAGTATTTGTAGAAATTGTCCCTGAAATTAATTCTTACAGTAAATTTCATTTTAGAGGATCCCAAAACCTTGAGAATGCTGTGTGGTGTGGTACTGATTCTAGCCTAACTTTCAACATAAAGCAATAAATAGAACCTTATGACCCTATGGGCAAATTCCTAAATTCACTTTATTAATAATATGCAATGTTGAAGTATTTCTACTCATTACAATTAGCCTTTTCTTCATCAGCTAATTTACTTAATGTTTACTTAATGCTAAAATTATAGGCTCTTGGGATTTGTAGAAGGAAAGTAAAAAATGATTGTTAGATCTTTTGCTCCAGAGAAAGCTGAGCTCAGACAGATATGAACTCCACAGCTGGTTAGGGGATGCTGCTTAGCCTCTCAACATAGTAATCCTTTTATCACACTCCAAACTTTGTTAACCTTGGTAGGGGGTTACTTTTAAGAAGAATCAACTTTTTAGGTATGGTGGCATACACCTGTAATCCCAACAGCTCAGGAGCCTGAGGCTGGAGAATCACAAGTTCAGATCCAGCCTCAGCAACTTAGTGAAGACCTATCTCTAAATCAAATAAAACAGAGCTGGGAATGTGGCTCAGTTGTTAAGCACCCCTGGTTCAATCTCTGGTACCAAAGGGTGGGGGTTGGGGGAGAAGAAGAAAGATAATTTGAGGAATAAAAGGAAGAGGCTTGGATTTGTTAATATGAAAGAACATTATTAAGAGGTATTAGAGCAATGTGTGACTGGTGCCTGTGTAGGTCAGCATAACTCTGATGAGAACAGAGAGCCCGGAAACACGTCTGTGCATATGTTAAAAATCCCATAATGTGGGATTTTTAACAGATTGTGGGGAGTTTTCTTTAGAGTGAAAATATAATACGTACTACTCTACACCCTTTCCAAAATACAAATTACAAGTATAAAAGATCTAAATGTGAAAAACAAAACATTTTAATGAGAATCTTTAAATTATCTTTGTGATTTTTGCAGAACAGAGAATTTCTTTAAAATCAGACATGAAAACACAACATTTACAGTAAATAGGATTGCATCACACCTAAAACTTCTGTAGAACAATAGGCACTTAAGTAAAAATACAAGCTGCTGACTGGAGAAAATGTTTGCAGTACACATAACTGACAAGGTCAGTATCTTGAATACACTGGAAAAACCTAAGAACCTCCTGCAAATCAGTGAGAAATGACAATTGTGTGTTAGAATAGCAGTGCTCACCCATTTTGGTCCTGAACCCCTTTACAAATTTATGTATTTGTCTATTATTTAATTATTTAAATAATTAAAGAGACACTAGATTGGGTTCAAGGAACTTGTCCTCCTGCTTCGGCCTTTTGAGTAGCTAGGATTACAGATGTCCATTACAACCTCCCAGTCCCTTTATACTTTAAAAAATTGATAACCCAGAGTTTTTGTGTATGTGGATCATACGTGTTAGAATTAAAATTGAGAAAATTTTTTAAAAGTAAAAAAAATACATGCTAAATATAAAGTTTAGTGAGAAGAATACCATTGTTTTACATTTTATAAATCTTTTTAATGTTTAACTTAAGAGGGCTGGACTCTCCTACCTGCAGAGCAATCAATCCGTTTCTATATGTTTTAGTTAAATACATGAAGATAATATAGCCTTACATAGCTATGTAATTGGAAAAGGAGGGGCTTTTGCAGACCCTTGCCAAATGTGTCTCAGAGCCCTTGGATCACACTTGGAACTGCTGCATTAGAGAAATGGGTATACTATACAAATGGAAAAAAAGCTTAAATAGTTAAAAACCATGAAAAGAGTATCATTATCATAATAATCAGGGAAATGTGACTTTATTGTTTCATGCTTTCAGATTGCTAAGATTCTCACAAGATCAAGTGTTGGTGAGAATTTGGAAATGGAAACATTCACTTCATTTGGAGTGAAATTTGTTCAATTTGATGATGTCTGAGAAAGTTGATGATGTACACGCCCTATAACCCAGCAATTCTCAGTATGTACTAGAACCCCACTTTGTAAAACATTCTCAACACCACATAAAAATAAATAAAGATATTGTGTCCAACTACAACTAAAAAATAAATATTAAAAAAAAAAAAAAAACAGGCCTGGGATTATGGCTCACCGGTAGAGCGCTTGCCTAGAATGTGTGAGGCACTGGGTTCAATCCTCAGCATCTACATAAAAAAGGAAAAAGTTATCTTAAAAATAAATAAATAAAAAATAAAAATGCAACTCTCAGTCACTGTCTTGGACCTGAGTCAGATCTGTAGTTACCAAGATATTTCAGGTGACTCAAGCTCATTAAAGCTTGAGAAGCAGAACTTTAGAGAAACCCGTGCAGAGTGTATAAAGAGACGGCCAACAGCAGGATTGTTTGTACCGAGGAAAATGGAAATAACCTAAATGCCTATTAACAAGAAAATAGATAAATAAATTGTGGCCAATTTATAAGATGGGAAACAATTGACCAGTAAAAATGAATGAATAATATCAAATGTGGATAGTCCTGGGGAAAAAAAATTGACTGAAAATAAGCTGTCAAGGAGGATAAAACTGCCATTTATGCAGTTTTTAGAAATCCTATGTCAATTGTTATTCACAGAAAAAAAGCATAGAGAGCTTGGGGGCTAGAGCTCAGTGTCAGAGTGCTTTCCTAGCACGTGTGAGGCACTGGGTTCAACCCTTTGCACCACATAAAAATAAACAAAGGCATTCTGTTGATTTACAACTACAAAATAAAATTTAAAAAAGAAAAAAGCGTAGAGCCAGACATGCCTTTAATCGTGGCATCTTGGGAGGCTGAGGTAGGAGGATCTCTGGTTCAAATCCAGCCTCAGCAAAAGTGAGGTGCTGATCTACTCAGTGAGACCCTATCTCTAAATAAAATACAAAATAGGGCTGGTGATGTGGCTCAGTGGCCAAGTGCCCCTGAATTCAATCCCCAGTGTCTCCCCCCGACACACACACACAAAGCATAGAAATATGAAGACCAAAGAGACACTCAAAAAAGCAATCATTTCTGGAAATGGAAGGAAAGGAATGGAATTGGGATTGACTGCACAAGGGTCCTCATTTTCAGAGTCCCTCCCCCACTTTTAATCTGAAAGAAAATGTTAACGTTTGTTAATTTGGGATTGGGGCTACATGAGGGTTTGTTATTCTAGTTCTCACAAAACACTTCAAACATTTAGAAAAATACAAATGCTCCACTAGCAGTATATATATTTGCACAAAGTAGGAGAGGGATAGTAGATTTATTTCCCCTCTCCCCGATAATCCATAAACACATTGCACAGGCTATTGTCCCTCTCAGTGTCATTCTTTTGAGAACCCGGATTTGTGGTTGGGCACAAAGCCACCCAGAATATAGAGATTGTTCCCCTTGCAGCTAGCTGTCAGTTCTGGCCAGGGATCTGAGTGACATGTCCTTAAAGGTATGAGTATGCTCTTACTCCTTTCTTTGGCCAGCTTAAGTAAAGAGGGAATGGCTGGCCCCCTTCTGGGATCATGATGTTCACCAGGGCAGAGCAGCATAAGTATAAAAAAACCTTAGACCTGAATCCTCCAAGGGCCCCCAGGAGCCTAGACTACCTTCCTCTGTACTTAGGAGAAACAAAGCTTCCTTATTTCTGAAGCCACTGATTTTCTGAACTTCCTGTCATGGTGACTCATTCTGATTGATTCACATATGCAGTATGTGCGCAGTTACCTAAATGAGATAGGTAATGTTACGTTATGTTATGGCCACAAATAAGGCCACAGTATGAAATTTTCTTTTATACAGTTTACAGAAATATTTGAATTTAATGTGGAAGCAATGAAAACAGTTTTGAGTGATTCCCTTTTCTTCTGAACAACAAATACATTTGCCCTTGTTTATCTACTTGTGACTTTAGGATGCACTCCTTATGATGGCTTTGATCAGGGACAGATTCAGGGCAACATCCTGTCCAGCCATCTGATAAGCAGCATGGGGCTTTACAGAAGCTCAGACCATTTTCACACTAGCCAAGACCAACCAAATATTTAGATATTTAATGTAATTCCAGAATATTGGCACAAATAAGAAAATATCTTAATAATTTCAAGGTGTGATCTGTTTTTTGATCCTTCCTGATTCCTTCATTGAATAAGAATTAAGTCAACATCTTCTGCTGGAAGCATCTTTTGAGGGTATAGCCCATTTGGCTATCTATGTTGAGAGTTCTCTTGTTTCTTAGGATCCTTCCCTGCCACAGAAATGGAACATGACCTCTCTGGGTGGGTGGGAGGAATGCTACAGCAAGACAATTTTCTTTCACTGAATGTTTTTTTAAAAGTACTGCATGCATTGGTCCCTTCAACCTTGAATTGTGTTTTAAAGGGTGATGTTGATGCAGATGGCATATATTTACTGCATGGATTTTGAAGAAAAACTACCTCATCCAAAGCAGGCAGATCCATCTGCAGCCACTTCCTAGCTGAGGTATGTGTGTTCTGCATTCAGATCCCACTGAGAGATATGCTCTTGGGGCTTCTCTGGCGATGACTCTGAACCCAGACCTTTTGGCTTCCAAGGTTCAGTAACTGCAGAAGGTTAGAGATGTGTCCAAAGCCCAAGTAGCTTCCTCCTATCTTCTTCATTGTTCTGCTTCCCAATGGGCCTTTAATGCACAACAGGAGGAAGTCCTCATGGAGTCCTCAAGGAGACATGTGAGGAATCTCTTTAGGGAGCTCAAGCTAAAAGGTAGAGATGGCTTTGCCCTCCATTTGTACATAAGAGCAGGATGAAAAAATCAAGGTAGAGTCTGGGTCTTGAAGTTTGATACACATGAGTTCAAATCCCAGGATTACAAGTTTTAATGGCATATTACATGAGAACTCTGCACCCATCCCCTTTAAAGTGGAGATAACCCCCTTTTCATAGGTTAGTGCAACATCATATGCAAGTAGCTGGCAGACTGCTTGACACACACATGCCTATTAAATCCTTGCTCCATCTGTTCCTAGTCTGTCCTCTGCCACCCCAGAGTACACCAAGGTGTGTGGATTGAATTGCCAGTCTGTCTTCACTCGTTTTCTTTCAGTCTCATTTTCTTCACCATTCTATGAAGAGTCAAATTGCAGATCTCTCTTGATTCCATGGGGCCTCTTAACCTGGATCTTCTGCAAGAGGCTGTCCTGGGCCACCTTGGGTCTCTAAACCCCAATCAACTTCCTCAAGAGCTCCCAGAAAAGGGATGTGCACAGCTGAGTGTGACAAATCTTTGTGAACATGAGTTCCTTCTCTTACTTGAGGTTTGGAAACTGCTTTGGAAATGTCACCTGGGATAGCCCAGAATAGACATATATAAAAATAAATATTTAAAACTTGCCATGAGGCTGCCTGCATTGCCCTATAATTCACCAAATTATTGCTTATTGAATGGATGATTGTCCTTCAGATAAAAAGAACTTGAGCTTTGCAAGAAAATGGGTCTGGGTTTGAATCCCAAATGCCAGGCACCTGTGTGTGACCTTAAACAAATTACAGAACCTCACTGAGCTGAGCCTTGCCATTTGTAAAATGAGGGTAATATTGATTTCCTATTCCTGCTGCAACAGATTACTATAAACTTGTTGATATAAAACCATGTAAGCTTACTAACTTGAAAGTGTGGAGATTAGATGTTCTAAAATAGTTATGGACTAAAGTCAAAGTGTTGGCAGGGCTGGTTCCTTTTGGCAGGCCTTAGAAGAGGATCCATCCTCTTGCCTTTTCCAGCTTCTGGGGTCTGCCTGCAGTCCATGTCTTTGGCATCCTGGCATCTTCAGAAGCTGCACTGGCAGTGGCAATGATGCAATGTGTGACCGGTGCCAGTACAGATCAGCATATCCCTGATGAGAACACAGAGACCAGAAGCAGGCTCATGCATGTGTGGGAACTAGATTTTTGTCAAATTTAAAGATGTGGGAAGCTATAGTTAGTGTGAAACCATATTATGTGAAGGGAATGCTAAATGATGGGCTAGCTAGAGGAAGGCTGCGTTCCTAATTGCTCCATGACTTTGAGATTCAAGAAGCAGGAGTAATGCTTCTCTGCAAGGTGGATGAAAGAGGAAGTTCACTAAAACTCAATACTGGGCATCAAAGTGAGTACATTAAATGAAGAAGAGAGACTACTTTGGAGCCAAGCTGGTTGGGACTACAGTGGCAGCAGTAGTTCAGCACAAAGGGAGGGAAAGCAGAGAGAGAACAGAATGGACAGATTTAGTGTGGAGAAACCTGAGATCTAACAACTAACCCTTACCAGATCCAGAAGCTGCACTGGACACTGGTACTTGAAAAGTTTACTTTACCAACTGGCCACAGAACTGAGGCAGGAGTCATCTGAGCAACCATGTTGCAGCAGCTGCTGTGGAAGCCAGGAGTTCTGAGCAAACACGGCTACAGTGTCCTTCTGTGTAGCCTAAGGTGTACCTAGCAGAACAGGAGTGAAATAGACAGAGAATATACCCAGGGGGGTTCAAGTCAGAAAAGTGAAGGGGAGCCCAACTCACTTCCCCCTTTGAGTCTGGCAGCTCAAGTGACCAGCTGATGCAGGTTGGGAATCTTTGTTCAGATCATACTCAGGGACTAAGCCTGGGAAGCCTGGGCTACAAGAGGGGGTAAAAGATTGGCTTCCTGCCCCATGAGTAGAATTCTCAGGAGGCTCCTGAGATCCAGACTCCTAGCAGAGATTGGCAACTGCCAGGCCCTAGAACTAATCTCTCTATAGCAGACAACTCAACAAAGCCCCTAAAGCGGGATTAGACCTAAGCTCCACCTACTGGAACTCCACTCACAATGCTCTGCAGTGGACCCACCCTGGGAGTAAATCAATCTGATCTGTGTGGACAAAACTTCAACTGACAGTACTTCTCATCTCATCTTACCTCCTGCAGGGGAGAAGAGAAGTTGGGAGTAATTTGAACCATCTTCAGTCTTAGGCCATTCCAACTGTCATTTTGGTGAGCAAGACAGAAAGAGAGGAAGGGGTTAACTTTAATCCCTTGTTGTTGCTCTCAGTATGTAACTCAGGAAAAAAAATGAAAGACATTAAGGGGATGGGGCTATAGCTCTGTGGTTGAGTACTTGCATCACACTTGTGAGGCACTGGGATCCATCCTCAGAACTGCATAAAAATAAAGGACACACACACACACACAGAGAAAGCCTTAATGTGACTTCAAGTCTTCATATATATATATATATATATATATATATATATATATATATAAACACCCAGACATAGACAGCGACCATCTATTCTCATTGACTATTTTGATCACCTCAGTGAAAACAATTCATTAATTTTTCATTAAGAATCTTTTCATGTTTGTTTGTTTGTTGTTTTTGTATGTGTTTTGCTTCTGATTGGTTCAGGGACATATGTACATACACATATTTGTTTCTTTTTTCTCATTTTTAGTGTATTTTAAATGTAGTTATTTTTCCTTGACTTGTCTTTAAGAGAATTTTGTATTAGTATATTGGTTTTGTTTTGTATTGTTTTTCATTTGTCTATTTCTTTTCTCTTTCTATTCTGTCAACAGCCAAATTCTATTATTCTTTCACTCTCCCCTTGGTTCTTTTTCTTTTTCTCCTCTTTCCGTATAACCATTATC